TAGCTATCCCCAAAAGGATGGACTCAACTTCGATGGTATAGACAAACCTACACCAATATCACAAATTGATAAGGTGGAAAAGCAAAATAATTTAGCTATAAATGTTTTCGGACATTCTAAAGGAATTGTTGTACACAGGATAAGCTCCGCTCCGGAACATATTCCCAGAATCAATTCATTTCTGATCGAAAAAGATGGTAAATATCATTATACGTGGATAAAGAGTTTAAACAGGCTATTATACGATCAAACAAAACATAAGGAAAAGAAATATTTCTGCGAAAGATGCCTACATGGGTACAGCAGACAAGATCTATTAGAAGCGCATAAAGAAGACTGTAGAGGTGTTGGACAGAATGCTATCAGGATCGATATGCCTAAAGAGGGAAAAAATATATTAAAATTTGAACAATATTGTAATCAAATGCCAGTACCGTACGTAATTTACGCCGACTTCGAAGCGCTTATCAAACCCATAGAAAATACCAACCGTAGCAATCAAGATAGTAGTTTTACGTACAAAACTCAAGAACATATTCCTTGTGGGTTTGGATATATAGTTGTAAGGTATGATGGGAAAACAAACACTCCCGTTTTTTACAGAGGTCCCGATACAGCAGGAAAGTTCCTAGAATATCTACAAAATGAAGAGAGAATAATCAGGGAAAAATTATCGTGTAAGAAACCCATGCGTATGACGAGCAATAATTGGAGGGCCCATAAGAAGTCAAAGAGTTGTCATGTTTGTTATAAACCCCTGGATGGGGATTCCGTAAGAGATCATTGTCACATCACGGGTAATTATCGGGGAGCCGCGCATAACGAGTGTAACTTGAAACTAAAAATGAATTCTCAAACAATACCCATCCCCGTTGTGTTTCACAACCTTAGGGGATACGATTCACATCTCATTATGCAAGCTATCTCAAAGACCGACGGCGGTTTAACGTGCATTCCTAACAATATGGAAAAATACATATCGTTCTCGTTGACTAAACCTATACATTATAGGGACAAGGATGGGAAATCTAGAATAAAGCAAAGTAATGGGCTTAGATTCATAGACTCCGTACAGTTTCTGTTATCTTCCCTGGACAATTTAGCTAATGCGAACAATCCCGATGACTTTGCGATAACAAATCAATATACCGATAAGATAACTCGTCATTTGTTGCTGAGAAAAGGTGTATATCCTTACGAATATATGGATGATTGGTCTAGATTCGAAGAAACTGAATTACCACCCCTTGAATCATTCTATAGTAACTTAACAGAATCTAGAATAACAGATGCCGATTATGAACACGCTCTGAAGGTGTGGGATAAATTAGGTTGTAAGAATTTAGGCGATTATCACGATCTGTACTTAAAAACCGATGTACTGTTACTCGCCGATATATTCGAGATATTTAGAAAGACATGTTTAAAACAATACGGCTTGGACCCGGCATGGTACTATTCCAGTCCCGGACTATCGTGGGATGCATTGTTGAAGAAGACCGGCGTAGAACTAAAACTACTCACAGATTACGATATGCACTTGTTTATTGAGAAAGGATTAAGAGGTGGTATATCGATGGCAGCTAAAAGGTTTCTAAGGCTAATAATAAATTAGTGGAAGGATACGATCCGAGTAAACCCGACACGCATATATTATATCTCAACGCTAACAATTTGTACGGATGGGCTATGTATCCATAATAATGATGCGAATAAAGGGTACATACTAGAAGTTGACTTGGAATATCCAAGTTCGTTACATAAAGATCATAACAGTTATCAGCTAGCTCCCGAAAGATTAATGGTTAATAAAGATTGGATGTCAGAATATCAACGCTCCTTGATGGGTAATAGTAGGTTAGGTAACGTAGAAAAACTCGTACCAAATTTGATGGATAAGACAAAATATATAGTCCACTACAGAAATCTCCAGTTGTATCTATCGTTAGGTATGAAAGATAAGAAAATACACAGAGTTCTAAAGTTCGATCAAAGCCCTTGGATGGAGCCCTATATAAGGTTGAACACAGATTTAAGAAAGATAGCTACCAGCGATTTCGAATAGAATCTATATAAGCTCATGAATAACTCAGTATTTGGTAAAACTATAGAGAATCTAAGGAAGCGTGTTGATGTTAAATTAGTCAGATCTAATGAGGAAGAAAGATTCAGGAAACTTATAGCCAGCCCGGCTTTTAACAGAAGCAAGATATTCGATAACGACTTAGCCGCGTTGCATATGCAGAAGAGTAATATAAAATTCAACAGACCGGTGTACGTCGGTATGAGTATTCTCGACTTGTCAAAACACTTAATGCATGACTTTTATTACAATGAACTTAATAAGCAATACGGCGATAGATGCGAGGTGTTATATACCGACACAGATTCTTTGTTGATGGAAATACAAACCGAGGATGTGTATAAAGATATGGCAGAAAAAATAGATATGTACGACACGAGCGATTACCCAAAAGATAATCCACTGCACAGCGTTGTAAATAAAAAGGTGTTAGGTAAGATGAAGGATGAATGTGCTGGGACCCCTATAGCAGAGTATGTGGGATTAAGACCTAAGATGTATTCTATAAAAAAGTCCAATAATGGGGAGATAAGAAAAGCTAAGGGTGTTAAGAAGTATGTGGTAAAAAAGCATATCAAACACGAACAGTATAAAGAATCATTATTCGAGGGTAGAACGTTCAAACACGAGATGAACTCATTAAGAAGTTACAATCATAGGATATATGGATTAAGAATGAACAAGACATCATTATCCACCTTAGATACAAAGAGATGGATTGATAATGATGGCATAACTACCTATGCTTATGGTTATGGTGGTAATACCGTACCGTCGGGAACTATGAACAACTCTTCTCGTACAAATGCCCTACCCGGTCCATCTTGAAGATAATAAAGAATAGGCTCTCCTTCTTTCGTAACCAATCTACTAATGTTATATGTCTTAAGGGACCATATGGGATCGGTTGCGCGACGTAGGCCTCCTTCGAGTTCACCGGGCTGGTATAAATATCTTACCCTTACTCTATCCGGAAGTTTTCGTTCTTTCGTTCTGCTGAAGATTCGGAAGTCACGGATTTCATTTTAATAGCATCGGATGGTTTCTTCCCTATTAATCTCGTTACTTCATTATTCAGCGCTGATACAACTGCTGATAATCTAGTCACCCATTCGGTTGATCTCAATCACTCGGATTTCATTTCGATCCCATACTGATAGCCAAACAAACGTTCCGCTAATGTCCTGTTAAATCTTTCGACGATAGCTTGACTGCGGTGGGCCTCTCTTTCACCACAGACGATTTCGACATCGAGCTTTGTTAACAGTTTAGTTACCGATCCCATAAACTCGCGACCTGGATCTACTTGAAATAGCTTAGGCCATTTTAGTGGTCCGCGTTTATATATGCGACTCAGTGCATTAGCTACTTCTGTTGATTCTTTCGAGGTTAATGGCTCAGCCTCTTTGTATCGACTAGCCACATCCACTACTGTTAAAGCGTATTTATATGTTTTGCGTTTTACCTTATCGTGGGGAAGAAACAAGAGGTCAGCCTGATGAACTTCATTCGTTGTAAAAATATCAAACTTCTTCCTCGGTATATAACGCGGTGCCGGTAAATATATTTGCCACATCGCTTGTTTCTTTAACCAATCCTTGGCCACATCTTTAGATACCTTAGCCACGGTGGCTAATTTTTTTATTGCTCCTACACCTTTCCAATATCCTCGTGGGCTATAGTAAATTTTATCCATTATTAATTAATATTGATGTTTCGTTTAATACAACTCATGACTATCGTTAAATCGCATAGTCATTTTGGCATAAAAAATTCACTCTGTAGTAGCAGTATAGGCATATAAATCCGGCTCCAGTGGAAGTGAGCCAGAACCCCTATTACCTATAAAAATTTGTATCATAGACTCCAGGTGGTGGTGAGCTGGAGTCAATTTAGCTGAATCTTATGACTATCGTTGAATCGCATAGTCATTTTGGCATAAAAAATTCCCTCTATAGTGATGGTATAGGTATATGAATACCAGAACCATCATTACCTATACTACTTCAGGGCTGTGGTCTGGTGCATCATTTTGTAAGGCATAGAATCAAGATCCTACGACAGTGTCACCTCATTTCTTAGCTGAATACCTCCTACACTTGCGTACCAAAAGGCACTTGAAGGGTAGCACCATTACATGTATTTGGTAGCCTTTAATTCATTTTTTTGCGTTCCGGAAACATTGCAAAATGACTACAGGCCCTACTTAGCTCTTTCAGGTTTGAGGATCAGAAGGCCAAATTCCGCTCCCCTGCATGGGATTTGAATGTGGTACTTCAAGGTTTGCAAGCATCCCCCTTTGAGCCCCATCGAGCCCCTTGACACATACTCATTTTATGACCTCACCAAGAAAAAAATATTTTCTCTTGGCTTTAGCCACTGCGGTGTGGGTGAGCGAGATACACACACTTGACATCTACCGTGTCCGTTTTGAGCAGGGTACGCAGGGGTTGTGCTGGGATTTCATAGGAAAAAATCAACTTCGAGGTCCCTCACCATTCCTTCCATTCTCTACGATTGTGGGGTTGGAAGATGAGGGTGAACTCCGTGGGGTTAGAAGATGAGGGTGAACTCCTTGTACCCTGTATGCTCACTAAAAGCTTTCATCTGATTGTTAACCTTGATCCGCCAAGAGCGAACATTCCTCATGAGATGAGTGGTAGCCTTGACTATGCCTCTACACAGCAACTGCTCTATTAGAGCAATAATGGAGTAAAAAAATTCGTAAAATCTAAATCCAATCCATCGCAGACTTGCCTCCCCGACTATCGCTTCAAAAACTCTTTTTGGTAGCTCGGGGGACTAGCAGTAATATGAATTCGATGTAACATCACATGTAGATTTGTATATTGTATTAGTCTGTATATTATGTTTCAGACTCTATGTTTAATTGTATGATATTGATGGTAAATTTCAGATGTGTCCCTGGGAGAGTACCCTCTAGTGATGATGACTTGTCACCTGCCAGAAATATTATCAGGACAAAGAGACCTGTAAAGGGGTATGTTTTTTATAGTCTAGTGTGCCAGAAATATTAAAATATACAATGATATGATGTTATCAGATTCCTAGTAAGTGTAGAGAAGTAATTTTAAGGTTCCATTTTTTTAAATTGTTGTGTTTTTGAAGGAGGCAGAAGTACACCAGAGAAGAAGACTGGAAGATTGTGAGCTACCTGGTGCGTGAACGTCGCTATAATGAGGTGAATGGCAGGAAAGTGTGGCAAGATATGGAACTCTTTGAGGTAAGGCTACAGTCTAGTGCCCTGACCACTTTAGAATTTCCGAACCATTTCCTGCAGATCATTTTAGGGCTCCAGGCTATTATTATTATCAGATTTATTCTGTCTGATAGCTGGTAGACCAGATCACATACTTTGTGTACCCCTCTGATAAGTGTAAATATAACTTATCCTGCATTATTCCTTAATGCATTTACTTATGTTTTTTGACAGAAAGTCAAAGCTGTGAGAGGTCCAGCTGCAGAAGAAGTTGTTCCAACTAGTTGTGTGGCAAATACACTTGCATAGCTGCCACGTGAGTTCGGAAGTGGAGACGTCTTGTATGAGCACATTACTGCTTGTCATTAAAAACGGCTAGACGTCTAAAGCTAAAAAAAATCTACCATTATCCTTTGCTTGTTATTGCTATCTCTATACGTGTGATTGTTTATGGTTTGTGACTTCATGTCTCCACTTTTCATTGCATTAATCACTGGTGCTCAATAGTCAGAGTAATATCAGGTGTATAGTTGTTCCAATAAGCCATTTTTGAATTGTCCATGTGGTAACTTTCTTGTGCCGTGCGTCATGAATTCTTGTTTATTGCCTGGTAATTGTTTCATGTAAATTGCCTATAATATATGCGGGCGTTTAAGTGTTTGTTTGCACTTTCCTTTGCGTAATTTTCTCATTCAACCAATGAGTTTTTTACTTATAATTTGCCTGCCCATTTTCATTGTTCTGTTGCACACATAATGAATACAATCTTTACTTAAATTGCAGATTTATGCCTCGTATTACTTGCATAGTAACAAGTCTAGCAGGGATCCCCACCTTTTGTGTTTGGACAGAACGGACCCCTGTTAGACAATATCTCAGTGCTGTTTCTGCCGTCCCCTCGCCCCTCAAGCCTTCTCCAATTACCCGAGGGTATCTATGTTATGCCAAACGCAGCAGGCGCTGAGACACCCTAAGACGCCTAGCACTGCAGAGACACCCTCTACCCTTGCTATGTTCAATACGCAGGCTACTACAGCTGAGATGCAGAAACCCACCACACCCCCTGTGCTTTTGACACCTGATACAATATACCTGCGTTTACGAGTAGCACCCCTAATAATATGTGCACTGTGCAGATCAAAGGGATTCCACTCAGCTTCTTCTGAAGGCTCTTTTGTGCCCAAGTACGACAAATCTTCCCCTGAGAAGGACACTCATCTAGGCCGTAACCAAGTCCCTGACTGGATGAAGGACCCTTATCCATGGTCCAGTGGAAGAGCATCTGTCCAGAGAGTGGAAGGTCCAGGGTTGAATCCCTGGCTGTGTCATACAAAAAGACATGAAAAGATGGCACTTGTTGTTACCCTGTCTGGTGCTCGGCGTTATGGGGCTAAAACAAGGACTGGTCAACTCGGTGCCATGTTTGGCCACCGTTACTTCATCACCTGGCCAGGGTGTGCATAAATGAGTCCACCTCCATGCCGTCGAATCAGATGCTGAAGGATCTGGTCTTAGCATTGGACGAAGATTTTGCCATGTTATCTTCATTGCCGGTGTTCAAGATTCCTCGGTTTCAGGACATTTTTCCCATCCATGCTTTGGATGTAGCGGACAGGACACACACACGGGATACGGGATCTCCACCGAATGACAGAGTCATCTTAGCAAATGACTATCCAGATCCCAGACACACTTTTGGCTTTCATACAAACAGAGGTCCTTCTTGTCCTTCAAGCCCTTTGTCAGTCCCGCCTGAGCATGGGGTGAAAATTCCTGCCTTTTTTCCTGTCTCTCGGTGTATGATCTTTCTGTACACTCTTTCGTAACTCGCTCTTTCCACCAACGTCACAGTTGTTTGGTGCCTACAGAATCAGGGGACGACACACTTTCACTCCCTCCTTCAACAGATGTTCCAGTTCTTCCATCTGGTAGATCGGCTGGACCTATGCCTTTTGGTCCAGCACATTCCTGGATGTAGGACTCAAACTACCAGGTTGGTCAAACAGACAGGTTTCATCTCATGCCTGGTACATCTGCAAAGGCCCTGACGCACCCATTCGTTCACTTCTGATGTCTGATGTACAATTCTCTTGGGACCCTGAACAAGAAGACAGCTTCCAGAAACTCAAGAAGTTATGCAGTGCACCACCTGTCCTGGCATACTTCAATGTGAACAAACCTGTTGAAATTCAGTACGATGCGTCGCAGTACGGATTAGGAGCTGTTCTGATTCAAGAGGGGAAGCCAGTTGCTTTCACTTCCCGCTCTCTGACTGAAACTGAGAGGAGTTACGCCAAATTGAGAAGGAGATGTGATCCATCGTCCATGCAGCTACCAAGTTTCACTGCTATATATTTGGGAAAGAAACCAATGTGTACAAAAATCATAATCCACTTGAGGACATTTGCAGGAAGCCACTCCTCACAGCACTGATGAGACTTCAAAGAATGCTTCTCAAACTTCAGTGGTATGACCAGACTGTCAAGTATGGGAAAGGCAAGGACATGTTAGTGGTTGACGCCTTGTCAAGAGCCTACCTGACATCTAATCAGTTTGATTTTGTCGACCTGAACGCAGTCAACAGTCAACACGACTACTTTTCGAGGTACATAGACACTGTTGAGCTCAACTCACTTACCACATCTGCAACCATCAATGCTATGAAAGCCATCTTCAGCAGCCACAGCATCCCCACAAAGTTGTGGTCAGATAATGGCCCACAGTTTGACTCTCGTGAGTTCAAGGACTTCTGTAAGTGGTATGGAATCCAACATGTCACCTCCAGTCCTCACTTCTAAAGTTCCAATGGGGAGGCTGAAGGAGATGTTCAGACAGAGAAGAAGCTATGGAAGAAGTCTCAAGACAAAAACCTTGCTCTTCTAGACTACAGAATGACCCCATTGGAAGGTATCAACGTGTCTCAGATACTCATGAGCAGGCCACACTGCCAGCCACTCAAGAACTTCTTGTGCCAAGACCCAACTGTCAACATGAAGTCAAGCGCCACCTTAGCCTTGAGAAACAGAAGAAAAGTGTCAAGGAGCTTCCTGAGCTCAAACCAGGCGACAGTGTAAGACTGTCTCCACTAGGTAACACCAAGGCCTGGACACCAGCCATCGTCAATAGACACCACGAAAGTCCTAAGTGACAATGGTACCTACCATAATAATCGAAAGCATCTGAGAAAGGTTACCGTGTCCGCAAACTATCAACGTACAGCACCTGAAATAGACCACCCTGAGACAGATAGGAAGGATTTACACTCACCCCAGGTGTATGTTCCACCTTCAACTCCACCACCAAGTGACCAGCCCAAAACTACCAGGTGTGGAAGGAGCATCATTCCACCCAAAAAGTTGGACTTGTAAATACCATATCCAGTTGAACTCAGAGTTATCATTACTAAGCCAGGGTCGACAATTGCAAGTGACAGGAAAGTGACTGTATGTAAACCTGTCGAGCCAATTTTATTGCTCAATATTTCATCTAGTTTGTGTTTACAATCTAGTTACAGAATCTAGTGCAAGGGATGAAGGCGAAGTAAGCAAACTTACTATTCTATACTACCCAATTAGACGTTCACTTTGCGTTCAACTGTCATTGACCTGAGGTCACCTCTTCACATCACAATCAAAACAAATACACGCGACTATCTCGAAAGCATTGATCTACAGGATCCTTATCTTCCCGAGGCGAGGGTGTTCACTGACTATAAAAGTTCAGTTTCCACCCTTGCTGAACTAGGCTGGATTTTCGGAGGTTTTTTGGCTGGTCTAAATCAAAATCTCAGATGGCTCAAAATTTTACGCATCCTGTCACCTGCTCTTTATCAACTACACACACTTTGCCAATGTTGTTAGCGTTACTCACCTCGCCGCTGGTCCGGCGCTCTTAAAAAACAACAACTTGGAGTTGGAAGCGTTAATTCTGGCCATATCTGGCCTGTTTGCAACTTCCCAAAGTTACCAACTCATGACGTATGTCTCCCCGTTACCCGATCCGCAGGCTTGGGCGGTAGACACGTTCAGCATCCCTTGGGAAGGCGTAAAAGCAAACACTTTTCAACCACCAGTTTTACTTCCCAGGGTAATGCAAAAGATCAAAGAGACAAGGAGTCTTGCTCTAACTTTGGTCACGCCCTGGTGGCCGGCGAGATGATTGTTCGTTGAGCTCAGAAATCTAGCAGTAGATTATCCACTAACCCTCCCACACTGGTCCAACCTATTTATCCACCCTCACAGCAAATTGCCTCATCCAACTCCAGACAGATTTTGTCTGCACTGTTGGTTCATCTTAAAAAGGCGTTAAGTGCAAAGGGCTATTCGGCACAGGCAGCAAAAGCTAAAACGTTAGCTCATCATTCCTCTACTACAGGTTTATACGATGACAAGTGGGGATCGTTTGAAACTTTTTGCAAGGCAAAAAGTCAAGACCCTACCACTGCGTCACCACAATTCCTAGCTGAATACCTAGGATACCGATATCTGCATACCCAAAGACACTTGAAAGGTAGCACCATTACTACGTACTTGATTGTACTTAACTCAGTGTTGGACGTTCCGGAAAATCGCAAGATGACTAAGGTCCAGGAGCTACAGGCCCTATCACACTCATTCAGGCTTGAGGATCAGAAGGCCAGGTTCCGTCCACCTGCTTGGGACTTAAACGTGGTACTTTGAGGTTTGCGAGGCCCCCCCCCCCCCATTTGAGCCCCTCCATGCATCCTCATTTTATGACCTCACCAAGAAAACAGTGTTTCTCTTGGCATTAGCTACGGAAAGCATGGGTGAGCGAACTACATGCGATCGACATCACCCCGATTCGTTTTGAGCATGGGACGCACGGAGTGGTACATATGGGGTTGTGCTGGGATTTTATTGCAAAAAATCAACTACCTGGCCAACATGATCTTTCCTTCACCATCCCACCAATATCGACTATTGCTGGAAGCCAAGATGAGGGTGAACTGCTACGCCCGTTTCTCCATGTGCACGACCAAAGTTAGTTGCAACACCATATCTCTATGGTTATGCGCAGTCATCCTTCAGGCTTATTCAATCGCCAATCTGGATCCACCGAGAGTGAAGAATCCTCACGAGATCAGGGCGATAGCCTCTACCATGGCGTTACACAGCAATTGTTCGATTGAAACAATCATGGAAGGATGTTTTTGGAGGTCTGACACAGTTTTCACCAGTCATTATCTTCGTGATATGTCTCTCAAGGACGTCGAAGGTGTACAAGATTTTGGGCTGTTGGTTGTAGCCCAGCAGGTTACCAACCCCCGACACAAATAATGAACTCGCCCTATACAGAGCCATTCCATTTCTGGTGCAATCGCTTAGATTTCACCAGTGGAAGAACAAGGTTTTAAAAGACCTTTATTCCTTTATTCAGGAAAACACACAGAAGTCTCCAGAACAACTATTTCATTCTGGATGAGAGCTGTCATTCTCAGTGCATGCATACATACAGATACAGTCTTTGCAGATCACTATCTCAGAGACCTTGCCATAGAATTCATAGCTGGCATTCACCAATTCGGACCATAAGTTGTGGCACAGCAACTCATGAATCCTACCAGATGACACCAGAGATCACACTCACTGCAAATCACGTAGACTCGTTGACGTCAGGTGACTAATCCATTTCCCAACGGCCGAGAGTCAGTTCCCCGTTTTACTCTGTGATTCAGCACATGAGTGATAAATGATTGTGTTAAGTTAAAGTTTATTGAGTTACACCTAATCGTTTAAGGTGAACAAAATTCTAGAATGTATGGAACCCTTTCAAATCCACAAATCTATAAGATTTACTTCCATGTTTTGATACTCACAAAAAGGAATGTGTTACCCCAATAAAAGATAAAAGAAGAAAACAGCGCAGAAGATCAATCAACGTTCCCATTTACAGAACAGATCAGCGTTTATCACACATACAGGTGGAACACATCACCTACTGTGAGATTCAAGCATAAATATGTATTTTTCAGAGTTAAAATATCATTTACATTTATCCTGATTCATTCACATGAGCACCTTCTCGGCCTTCCCCTCGTTCCACTGATGTGTTTTACGGACCATTTCGTAAGTAAATAGAGAGTGATGATTTTTGGGGCTTGGTCATGTGGTTCCGGTGCGCAGTTGAAGCCTACCTCAATCGTGCTATTTTATTGAAAAGAATATGTTACCATATAGTAGTCAACTACAACAAATATGATGCTCAACAAGTCAAAATATGGCATTTATGATATAGGTATCCATTCCCTGACAACTAAGGTTTGTATCAAGGTGTCAATAGCGGTAATCTAAATGAGGTTGCTGTAAATTACTGTGAGTTGGTGCAATCTGCAGATAAGTTCATGTGTTTTTGCTGAAATTAATGAAAACAATGATGAAGGAAATTTTGAATAAAATTAATAAAATAGATTACAAAGTCCAGATGTACAATTAAACACTTTTTATAACCAGATAATGAATGTGCAATAACAGGACTATCTTCCATACTTCAGTATGGATTTGTTGTCATGCTATTTCCTTGGTTACGTGCTCATGGTAACTTGAAAACCTATTCTTTGCTTGTTTTATGCACACCCCCACAGCTGTAGTTTTAAAAAGGTAGTGTACGCTATTCTCAAGAAAACTATCATGTTCCTGCTGAAAGAAATACAAAATATAATGAGAACTAATTTATATGGGACTTGGTTTTCTGTTTAACATTATTTTGTACATTTTTATTTCTGACAGGAATATCGATGGAAGTCAAATCCCAGATCTGCCCATTATGTCTTTGAAGCTGTAAAGTTTGACAAACCCATGTCACTTTGGGCTCGTCTTGAGTGTTAAATTTAGCATGAAACCCTGACTCACACTCTCACTGGATAGTTGTGGCCATGGGTTGGGTACTCCCCAGGCAACCCACCCCTACAAAGTAGTGAGTTTCGTGTCATGATGTATAACGAACATGTTAGTTTCCAATGTTGCCCAATCCAGTCACTATGGATCTGTCACGATGACCCAGGTAGAAATGGTATGTTTTCCAGGTTTCCATGCACCCAGGTGAGTCTATGAGGACCCATTACCTGAAGTTTATCCTGCCTAACATCAAGACGTACACTAACTTCCCCCAGCACTGGGTGGCCTTGCTGACAGGAAACACAGCAGATGCTACTCAAGGTGACTTGTCGGGGAATGAAAATGAAATTGTTGACAATTAGAGTGTGTGAGGATTCCATGTGATTATTATCCTACATTTAAGGTCGGGGAACTGAATTGAAACTGTAGATGATTCTCCAATATCTCAGCTTGGTTTCCCCTGTTGTCTATGCTGCCACACTTCGTTATGCGCTGTGCCAGGATCTAACTGGAATGAACTCGCCCTGATAATGATCCTAGGTCTGTTATCACCATAACTCTGTTGATGGGCCGTACCAACTTTGTAACAACCTGCATTACTTTTGGATTTCTCCCACATTAAACTGTCGTGTTATAACCAGGGGTTTATTTGGACCTGCTCAAAGGCATATATTCGCCCCCAAGCCTGCAATAAATGTTAGTAAGATTCACAAATTGGAATTAAATGTAAAAAGAATTTCAATGAAAGCAAGATTCAGAAGATGTTGGTGATACGTCCATGAGAAGAGTTCTGCATCTGGCAGGGCTAAAACTATGTCCAGAACAAGAAGGCTTCAGAGTGACTGACTGAGCGAACTTCAATGGTTGCGACACATGTGTGATATGGGGTGATATATTGTTCTGTAGAATTGGTGAGGCCGCAGAAAAATTCAATGGTTTTACAAGGGATGTATAAAAATGTACCAATTAAGGAGCATCAGGACAGTGTCACAAGGTTAACTGATAGGACCGGCAAGTTATCGTATCTGTCGGCTTTTAAAGTGCTTCCAGTCCAGTAAACCGGTAAATTTGTAATTGAATTATCCACTGGCTGGTTGCAATGTTAGAATTTCTTCAGAATTTACAAAAATATAAACTTTAAAAAAATCAAATTTTGAACAAAGTAATAAAAAAAATTCCCCAAGGGCACTTAGTTTCAATAGAATCCTAAATAAATCGCTGATAATCAAAAGAGTATGTGTAAAAGATCAACTGATTAATCGAATAATTGTGATGTCCTAAATCTGTATGTTGGCAATCTTCTCGCCCTAGTTGACAGATCCAAAGAGATCCCCAAAACATCCCTAGTTAGCAGTCCAGGGAAATCAGCACAGGTGAGAAGTCCCAGGACATCAGCACAGGTGGGAAGTCCCAGGACATCAGCACAGGTGAGAAGCCCCCCAAAAGAAGTACTGGAAACTGATGACAGCATTGAACTCTCTCAGAGTATTCTAAATGATTACACCTCAAAGACCATATGTACATCACCTGGAAAAGAATCTTCCCACTGTCAATATCAAACAAAACCAGGAAGCTCAAAAACAGTCAAAGATGAAACCCTTTCCATTCCCCCTGCATCACTCCAAGGCCAATCTCCTTACTTTTCTCTCATTGTCAATAAGAATACACAGAACCATTCCGACTCGTCAGAAGTAGATGAATTTGACAAGAACCTGCTTCAGACAGCAATGGCTACTGCTTGTGTAGATGAGGACAACAGGGAGCTGGAGGTTTTCCAGGAGCAGTCTGGACCACCCAAGATCCACCCAGAGAACACCCCATGTTCTGGGAACAGGAAAAGAACTGTCACTGGAGGATCGACATCAAATCAAGAGGTTTGTATCACATGACAAAAATCTCTCTTGTTTTAACAGATGCTGATATCTGCTTGATTTCAAATGCCAAGTACTGAGAGCAATGTATTTGCATTGTCCTGTCAAGAGAAAAATCAGCTCTAACAAAGTTAGTAGCGAATTAGTTATGATCAATGAAATTTTGCATATGGACATTTTTCACACTTTCACCATTGAGCCCAAACCAAGGCAAAGCTCCATGGAGAGTGGACTTGCATCAGTTGATCGGGACCAGAGAACATGTTTTGTTTGTGTCCACATATTGATGTTGCTGCCAAAGTGACAGCTTCTCTATACCCATGCCAGCTTCTCTATACCCATGCCAGCTTCTCTATACCTATGCCAGCTTCTCTAAACCCATGCCAGCTTCTCTAAACCCATGCCAGCTTCTCTATACCCATGCCAGCTTCTCTATACCCATGCCAACTTCTCTATACCCATGCCAGCTTCTCTATACCCATGCCAGCCTCTCTAAACCTATGCCAGCCTCTCTAAACCTATGCCAGCTTCTCTATACCCATGCCAGCTTCTCTATACCTATGCCAGCTTCTCTATACCCACGCCAGCTTCTCTATACCCATGCCAGCTTCTCCATACCCATGCCAGCTTCTCCATACCCATGCCAGCTTCTCTATACCCATGCCAGCTTCTCTAAACCTATGCCAGCTTCTCTATACCCATGCCAGCTTCTCTATACCCATGCCAGCTTCTCTATACCCATGCCAGCTTCTCTATACCCATGCCAGCTTCTCTATACCTATGCCAGCTTCTCTAAAGTAGATTCTTTAGTCTTATACAAACACAATATCATGTGCGTTGACTGGAATCAGACCTGAGACTATTGACTTCAGTCACTGACTTTGTGACTGTCTGTTGTTTTCATGCATGTTGTGGGGAACTGATCATGACGTTGCTCTTTGCCTTGACCAGACTGACTCGACTGATGATGAGGTGAGCCTCCGAAATTCCCACCACTCGGCCAGCAGAACACCATGCAACACAGCCTCAGGTAATCTGATCATACACATGCACTCTGATAACATATGTTTAGACAAACTGGTATACTGATATCAATTGTATGAACATGCATCATGACATGTACACTGATACCACATGTTTAGACATTCCGGTATACTGATATCAATTGTATAAACATGCATCATGATATGTACACTGATACCACATGTTTAGACATTCCGGTATACTGATATCACTTGCATAGGTATGCACCATGACATGTACACTGATATCACTTGCATAAACACACATCATGACATGTACACTGATAACACATGTTTCGACCTACCGGTGTACTGATATCACTTGCATAGACACACATCATGACATGTACACTGATAACACATGTTTAAACCTTCCGGTATACTGATATCACTTGCATAGGTACGCACCATGACATGTACACTGATAACACATGTTTCGACCTACCGGTATGCTGTTATCACTTGCATAAACACACATCATGACATGTACACTGATAACACATGTTTAAACTTCCGGTAAACTGATATCTCTTGCATAGGTACGCACCTTGACACGTACACTGATAACACATGTTTCGACCTACCGGTGTACTGATATCACTTGCATAGGCACGCACCATGACATGTACACTGATAACACATGTTTCAACCTACTGGTATACTGATATCACTTGCATAGGTACGCACCATGACATGTAAACTGATAACACATGTATCGACCTACCGGTGTAGTGATATCACTTGCATAGACACACATCATGACATGTACACTGATAACACATGTTTCGACTTACCTGTATACTGATATCACTTGCATAGGTACGCACCATGACATGTACACTGATAACACGTTTCGACCTACCGGTGTACTGATATTACTTGCATAGACATGCATCATGACATGTACACTGATAACACATGTTTCGACCTACTGGTATACTGATATCACTTGCATAGGTACGCACCATGACATGTACACTGATAACACGTTTCGACCTACCGGTGTACTGATATTACTTGCATAGACATGCATCATGACATGTACACTGATAACACATGTTTAAACCTTCCGGTATGCTGATATCACTTGCATAAACACAAATCATGACATGTACACTGATTACACATGTTTAAACCTTCCGGTATACTGTTATCACTTGCATAGGTACGCACCATGACATGTACACTGATAACACATGTTTCGACCTACTGGTATACTGATATCACTTGCATAGGTACGCACCATGACATGTACACTGATAACACATGTTTCGACCTACTGGTATACTGATATCACTTGCATAGGTACGCACCATGATATGTACACTGATAACACATGTTTCGACCTACTGGTATACTGATATCACTTGCATAGGTACGCACCATGACATGTACTCTGATAACACATGTTTAGACCTACCGGTATACTGATATCACTTGCATAGGTACGCACCATGACATGTACTCTGATAACACATGTTTAGACCTTCCGATATACTGATATCACTTGCATAAACACACATCATGACATGTACACTGATAACACATGTTTCAACCTAGCGGTATACTGATATCACTTGCATAGGTACGCACCATGACATGTACACTGATAACACATGTTTCGACCTACCGGTATGCTGTTATCACTTGCATAAACACACATCATGACATGTACACTGATAACACGTGTTTAGACCTACCGGTATACTGATATCACTTGCATAGACACACGTCATGACATGTACACTGATAACACATGTTTCGACCTACCGGTATGCTGATATCACTTGCATAGGTACGCACCATGACACGTACACTGATAACACATGTTTCGACCCACCTGTGTACTGATATCACTTGCATAGACACACGTCATGACATGTACACTGATAACACATGTTTCGCCCTACCGGTATGCTGATATCACTTGCATAGGCATGCACCATGACATGTACACTGATAACACATGTTTCGACCTACCGGTGTACTGATATCACTTGCATAGACATGCATCCATCATGACATGTACACTGATAACACATGTTTCGACCTACCGGTATGCTGATATCACTTGCATAGGTACGCACCATGACATGTACACTGATAACACATGTTTCGACCTACCGGTATGCTGATATCACTTGCATAGGCATGCACCATGACACGTACACTGATAACACGTTTCGACCTACCGGTATGCTGATATCACTTGCATAGGTACGCACCATGACACGTACACTGATAACACATGTTTCGACCTACCGGTATGCTGATATCACTTGCATAGGCATGCACCATGACATGTACACTGATAAGACATGTTTCGACCTTCCGGTATACTGATATCACTTGCATAGGTACGCACCATGACATGTAAACTGACAACAAATGTTTCGACCTACCGGTGTAGTGATATCACTTGCATAGACACACATCATGATATGTACACTGATATCACATGTTTCGACCTTCTGGTATACTGATATCACTTGCATAGGTACGCACCATGACATGTACACTGATAACACGTTTCGTCCTACCGGTGTACTGATATCACTTGCATAGGTGATAACACATGTTTCGACCTACCGGTATACTGATATCACAAACACAAATATTCACTCACTACATCTACAAGATTCTTGTCACACTAAGATACAACACCTTGATTGTTATGTTCCAGACTCTAAGAAGATGCGTGGCGGCAACTCGAGGTGGAGATTAGAGCACTGTGACACAGAATCACAACAGTCTCAAGGTATCACCACGTTTAGCTCAACTGACCAAAACTTGCACCTTAACTTTTAGCATTTTCAAACTGTAGAGAAAACAACAGTAGAAACTAACTGATGTTAGCCCCCATCCACAGACAAGCAGTTTTGAGAATAACAAATACTGTACCTGTCATTTAATTTGAAACCAGATCCCTGTTTCACAAAGGTATTGTAAGGGCTATGACTGACATTAGTCCATGTTGAGGCGATGGTAGTTACAATAGTCATAGCATTACAATTGCTTTGTGAAATGGGAGTGGATTATTTGGAGGTATTAATTCAATGCAAATCCTTGAAGCAAATTGCTGAATCACTAATAACCTCCTTTGTGCAAAGTATAAGGGTGAGGGTCATTCATCAAGTTATTGCTAAATATTCTTGAAATGTGAATTAATGCAATGCAATATTTAGTTTTCTTTCAATTGTAAATTTATGAAACAGTTTTATTAAGTGTTTGGTTTTTTTTATTATAGTTTAGTTATGGCATTGGTTTTGCCCAGATCTAACCTTGTAATGACACTGTGTCAGCCCAGCACACCACTGCTCTGACTACTTCATCACATCCCAACCATTGTCCTATCCCTGTTTTACAAGTGTGTGAAGTTTCCCCTTCCCTGGTGCAGTAAGGAAAGACACATTGTTTCTGAAAAATAATGTATTGCACCATAATACAATGGAAAAAAAAGCACAATTATATGTGACTGTGGAATATATATGGTCAGTTGATTTGCTAACAGTATCCTGTGTACCTTGTTCCAGAGGGAGACCACAATGCAGCTGACCTGCTCCAGGCAGTGGAGGAGACATGCTTCCACCTCAAGGTAGGACTGTCCATAGCAGGGTGGAGCCTCAGGGACAGCCCTGTACGTTACATCTAGCTAAGGTCGAGTTTCTGTGCAAGGAGTAGGATCTCTTAATACCAACTTCTTCGAGAGGCGTTCAGAAGTTGGAGTACTAAATGACGATGAGATATATGGATGAACAAGTTCTTTATTACAATTAGGAGCAGCGTTTTGGTGTAGGTTCTAACACCATTATCAAGAAAGTGATGTACAGAGTATGGTTGACATTTGACAAGTATATAGACGAGAGAGAGAGATTTGAGGGATTTTACGACCGCTTCAGCCGTCGGCTATTTCGCAGTCGGGGCCAGCCAGGTTTTATATAATAACATAATATTGGGGAATAAAGATGTAATCGGCTGGCCCAAAAAACTATGAATGAAGGTGTGTAAAGAAGAAAGAAATACAGTAAAGGTGGTGAAATGGGATAAGAAGGCTTAGTGACAGAGTATGACGCTGTAAGAAACCTAGTCTACTGGGAGCACCTAATGGGGAAGATTTATGATTGAAAGTGATCAGTTAGGCTGATATGCTAGTATAATAATATAACTGCTATGAAATAGAAATAAAGTAACAGTGGTGGGTTGGGAAACCTACTCTAATAAACGTTGGGCTTACTTGGCAAGGTATGGGGGGACGCGGGAGTCAGGGGTGGGTGGCAGTAGTGAGCGTGAGGATTAACGAGCATGGTTATATGTGGCTGGATATGGGCGAATTTATCGCGCAGATGTCGGAGAAGGCAATCCTCACTAGGAATTTGGATCCCGATCCTAAATTGCAAAAGTGGTGATTTTGTAGATGGTGGTTTTAGCTGAGATTTGTTAGGATGGTTCTAAAGTCTGTTGATAAGGTTTGTTGATTTAAGGAATTTGGCTATATGGGTATATTTAGAGGGGTTATTAGCCGGGTTGAGTAGTAGACTGATATTGTTTTTGTACTGGGGGGGGGAGGGAGTTATATAGCTGAACTTGTTGTTGTTTGTATGTTTTGCAGTGGTTAAATATATGATCTAGGTTTTCAGGTGTATTGCAATGGGAGCAGTTTGGGTGTGGGTGTCTATTTTGTTTATGTAGTATTTCATTGAGGTTGATTTGGCCACTGAGCATTCTATTTATAATTTTTTCAGTGATGATGGACTTTGTAAAATTGTGGCATTTAGTAACAGGTTTAGTAAAAAGAGCTTTTATCCATGCGGATTTAGAATTTTGAATGTTAATTTGGAAATTTTGACTCTTTAGGTTTATTCCTGATTATTGATTTGATTTCGGCCTTACTTGTGGTGAAGTTAATGCAGGGTGATGGGTGTGTGGTGGCTAATTTTGCTGCTATGTCTGCTAAGTGATTGCCTTGTATTCCAGTGTGTGCAGGTGCCCAGAGTAGTGTTATTGTTTTGTTTGTTTCTGTGATTTTATTATGTATGTCTATGATATTGTTTATGATATCTTGACGTGATTTGGATGTTTTGTTTTGAATTTGGGTTAATGAGCCTAATGAGTCCGAAATGATTAGAGAGTTTGTGTCCTTGGATTGTTTGATATAGTGATATGCACATTGGATGGCAAGTAGTTCAGCAGTAGTAGTGTGTGTGTAGTTGGTATAGTGAAAATTTGTGGTAATGAGTACTGGTTGTGTGATTTGGATTCCTAAGCCGGTGATATTATTGTCATTTTGGGAGGCGTCAGTATAGATGGGTGTGTGATTTGGCCAGTTTTGTTGTATATAATGATGAGTTTTTTGCAGTGTGTCTGTTTTAGTTAGGTCAGTTTGGGTAGTGAAGAGTTTGTGTAGTGTGCAGTCTGTATTAGGAGCCGGTTTGTCATTAATGTATGTGTAGCAAAGAGGGGTGTGTTTGATGTTTTCAAGTTTGTGGGTTTTAATGAGTTTATATAGATGTGTTAGAAATGGGGCTAGGTTATGGTTGTTTTTGAACTTTTTGAGCGTGGCAGGTCTAAGGTTTGTGTATTTGTCTGTAATTTGTTGAAATATGGGATTGTGTTGGGCCCCAGCCCAGTAATTTAATGTAGTTTGATTGCGTCTAAGCTTAATTGATGTGGTTCCAGAGATTAGCTGGAGTGAAGTAAGGGAGGCACCGGTTCTGGTCCCCAGGGCTGTTTTAAGGGCTTTATACTGAATAGATATGAGTTTTTTGTCTAGCTTTTCCGTGATGGAGTGAAGGACCGGAGCGGCGTAGACAATTTTGGGTAGTATAAGTGATTTATATATGTTGAGTAGTGTTTGTTTGTCAGCACCCCAATCAGAGCCACTTATGGCTCTCATTAGATTCAGATCTTTTTGGCATGATGTGACCAAGTTATGAATATGGGGGGCCCATGTTAGTTGTTGGTCGAAAGTAACTCCTAGGAATTTTGCTTCATTTTTAAATGTGATAGCTTCGTTGTTAAGGGTGAGTTTGGGTGTATAATTTTGCATACGTTTGTTTTTGAAGAGTAAGCCAATGGTTTTTTGTGTATTGATTTTGAATCCCCACTGGGATGCCCATTTTTGTACATGGTTAAGTAGGGGTTGGATTCTTTTTTGAATTTGTTTAATAGATGTAGACGACGTCCAAAAAGAAATGTCATCAGCAAATTTGGCAGTGGTGGTGTTAATAGGATTTTGCGGAAATATGTCGTCTATCATGAAATTAAATAGAGTTGGAGAAATGATGCTTCCCTGTGGGGTGCCATTTTCTAGAAAGTGGGGATCAGATAGTGAGTTGTTGGTTTTAATTGTGATATTTCTGTCAGTTAGAAAAGAGTGGATGAAATTTAGAATCCTACCATCTATGGCTTTTTCTTTAAGTTTTTGTATCAGGCCGTTATGCCAAACCATATCAAAAGCTTTACTAAAATCAATGAAAATGGCCAGGGTGTATTGTTTCTGGGCGAGTGCTGTTTTGACATCATGTTCCAAATGTAAAATATGATCTAAAGGTTGTCGGTTTGCCCTAAAGCCGCTCTGGTCCTGGTGTAGAAGGTTTTGGGATGAAATTTGGAATTTAAGTCTGTTGTTAATGATGGATTCCATAATTTTACAGATATGGGACGTAAGAGAGATAGGCCTATAGGAATCCGGGTCTCGTGGGGGTTTCCCTGGTTTGAGAACCGGTACCACCTGAGCTGTTTTCCAAGATTGGGGTATAGTGCCGGAAGTCCAGATCTGATATAATTGTAATAGTAATTTTTGTATTTTTAAAGGGAGGTGGTTAAGAATAATATAACTGATATTGTCTGGTCCTGTGGCTGGGGCTGTATTTTTGCTGTATATTGCTGTTTGTAATTCATGTAAGTTGATTATTTTATTGAATGTCTTATGGGTGAGAGGAGGTCTGTGTGTGTAGGTGGGGTGGTTTTTGATTATGTTTTGCATGTTTGGTGTGTGGTTGGTGGAGCTACTAGTTGCCTTTTCTTTATCAGTGTTTAAGTTAGGAAAGGTGGGGGCAGAATGGGCTTTGGAGTTTCCTTTTATTGCTTTGAGTTTTTTCCATAGAATTTTGGTGTTTTGTTTCCCCATTTTCAAGGTGCTTGTGAATTTTTCCCAATGGTTTCTTTTGGCTGCTCTTATTAGTTGCTTGGTAGAGTTTCTAAGAGCTTTGGCCAAGGGGATTTTAGTTATGTCCCGCTTGGCCTTGTTTAGTGCCTTTTTTTCTTAATTTTCTTGATTTTTGAATATCTGGGCTCCACCAGGGTACAGGTGTGTGGTTTGGTGATATTTTGATGGTAGGAATACATTGGATGGCTATTTTGTGTATGGTGTGGGTAAAGTTGGTATTAAATGTGTCGTTATCTTGGTGGTAAATGTGGTGAATGTCTGTCTGGTTGCACAGTGTTTTGAATTTATTCCAATCAGCTTTTTGAAAATTAAATTTAGGTTGTTGGGAGGGGTGATCTGAAGAGAGGTGGGGTTGGGATGGTGTAGGGTTTTGGCTGGATGGGGTTATAGTTGTAGAAATTTTGATGGGCAGGTGATCACTGCCCCAGGTGTCTGTATGGACCTCCCAACTGAGTTTAGATTGGAGGTGTGGTGTGCTGATAGATAGGTCGATAGAGGTGGGGGATTGGAGGGGGTTGAGAGGGATTCTGGTTGGTTGGTTGTTGTTAAGGCAAATAAGGTCATTGGTTTCGATCCAGTTATTGATGAGTGTACCAAATTTATTAGTATAGTTTTTAGTGCCCCACAGTGGGTGGTGGGCGTTGAAATCACCAACAAAGAGTGTGTTTTGGTCAATAAATTTAGTTAATATGTCCAGATCCTCAACTGGAAAGGGTTTTGTTCTAGTATGGTAAACATTTATGATAGTCATATTAGTTTTGTTGATAGTAGTTTTGATGGCCAGGCATTCAAGGTTTGGGGTAGGAATGTTAATTATTTCATAGTTGAGGTGTTCTTTAATGAAAATACCGAGACCTCCATGTGGTGGTCCCGGGAGATTTAGTGGAAGTGGTCTGTCCTTCTGAATGAAAACATAGCCTGGTATTTTGAAGGCTTTTTTGGGTGAAATTTTTGTTTCCTGGATTGCAATTATTAAAGGTTTGATTTTCCCAAGGGCTATGAGTGCCTTAAGCTCATGCCCATTGGTGGTGATTCCATTGCTGTTCCACTGTATGAACACCATTGTCGGGTTTTAGAATGGGAGGAGGTTGGATGCCTAAATAAGGTGGTGTTCTGGGGCTAATTTTGATGGTCCAAGAAGAGTCTGGTTTTATTTGAGTGCTCTGAAAGTTTTGGAAAGTTTTTTGGTAGAGGATGGAGAGAAGGGCCAGGGAGTGGATTTTCTTGGGGGTGGGATTTTTAAGAAGAATGGCTTCAGTTAAAAATTCTATAAGTTTGTTTATGTTTGAGTGTAGTTTTTTGGGTGTGACTGTTTGCGAGGGGGCTGTATTTGTAATTTGTGGTTGAGTAGCTGTTTTCTCGTTGTGTTTATTTTGTAGTTTATCTGTCTGTTTTTAGGTGGGTGGTTGGATGGTACAGGGATGGCTGATCTAGTAGGGTGAGAGGCTTGGGGTTTGGGGAAAGTGGGTGGGGGTGGGGGGGTGAAAGTGAGGGAGGGAGTGGGGTCTGGTAGGTTGGGGGTGGTGATGGGCGGGTTTGTAGCGGCTTGGAAAGTGGAGGGGAGTTGAGGCGCTACAGGGGTGGGTAACAGGACCCTTTTTGGGATTGAGTCCATGGGGGGGTATAGGGGGGATAGTTGTGGGGCGGGGGATGGGAGTGGGAATGGAGGGGGGGTGGGGCCGGCGGGTGTGAGTCGACGGGAATGGGGGTGGAGAAGAGTTGTTTACGATTAGTTTTGAGGTGGGGGTGGGGGTGTGGGTGGGGGTTCAGAGAGGGAGCTGGCCATGGAGTCTGATGAGGTGTTGAGATCATAGAAATCGGGTATGGTGCTGTGTATGGGTATGGTTGCTGGTTTGGGTAAGTGTTCTTTGGTTATGTGTTTGTTAAGTTTGAGTATATGTGTTTGTTTGATAGGGCAGGTGTTTTGTGTGGCTGTGTGACCTTCTGTTTTACATTGGATGCAATATGGGGCCCATGTGCATTCTGTGGCTTCGTGTCTGTATGAGCCACATTTCTGACACATGGGCGGCTGTCTGCAGGTGGATGTAGGGTGATTGAATGAGTGGCAAATGTTACATTGTTGGGGATTTTTCATATAGACAGGTATGAGGCAGTATTTATACTGTTGAGTAGATGTAGTTACACTGGAGTGGAGCAAGGGGTGATATAAGGTAAATATCTTACAGTTAAAGCCAGTAATATAAACAAAAGGATTATGACTGATTTGGGTCTTTGGGGAGTTAATGGTATGCAGTGGGTATGTAATAGCCTTGATCACAGTTGACTGACAGTTTGAGTTTTTTTATGTTGATGGCTTCTTGAAGTTTTCTGATTTTCTGTTCCGAATGCTGTGACTTCTCTTGAAAACCATGCACCTCAATGTTGGCCTGTTTCTTTAGAGTCTCTGGATTTACAGTCCCAAAGTAGGGGAGGCTGATCACAAAGGCTGCAGATTGTTGACGGGGAGATTTCCCGAGACACCCGTCCAACAGTCTAATTAGTCAACGTTCACTAACCTGCCTCTCATCAAGCTGTTGACATAACACTGAGTACTTCAGACATACGCCAGCCAGTCTATACTGTTAGAGAAACACGCTACTCCAACCCCCTCCCCACCCCCACCTTGTCAACTACAACAACACATCCATCTATTGTTTAAAAATCACTGTTCCATCACGCCACTTCCTAATTATCAACAATAACCCCTGCAAAAGTAGCTTTGATCTTTGGTAATCTCATCAACAGGGTGTCACAAAACTTTCCAGACATAGTTAAAGCTATTGTTAGCCTTTAGCAGTAATTTCTTGGCGTAAAAGTTTCCAGATTTACAGTAGTCAAAGTAGGAACATTACAAATTTAGATTTAATCCATTGAAAGCTTATTTTTTTAAACTTATCCTATTACTCCTATTCATTATTTCTTTCTTCTTCAATCCTATGTAGAGACATGCTTGAACAAAGTTTCCAACTTCCAAAACTATTCACCCAAACACATCCCAGCATCACCATGGTCACCACCCAAGTGAGGTCCTTCATGTTCCCGGTTCAAACATAATTCTGTATCTCATAAGCGTGCTGTAGATTGCAATCAAAGTCTCAAGACACAGAGAATGTTAAGTTCAGTTCTCTTTCTCTGTGTCTCTCTGTTTCTCTCTGTGTGTCTCTCTCTCTCTTCCCCTTTAGCCCCCCCCCAATTCTCGATATTGTTGATTGTTCCTCTTCTCAGATGAAGGACCTGACATACAAAGACTAAGTTACGAATCCCAATTCCATGGCATTGTTTGATAGCTCAATAACTACTCTTGTATAAAGACAGACAGATAAGATAGAGTAGGACTTGCTGTAACAATCACATGATTTGTTCTTTTGAATTGGCCGATTGTCATCTTCTCATGGCCCTTGTTTGTACTTTGTTCCTCGTGTTTATGATAGGAAGATTTTCTGACCAAAATCATTCTGTCTATAGTGTTTCATCACAATTGTCATGGAAGACAGATCACGTTGAGTGGGAGAGGTTACATTTGTGAAGCAAACAAAAGAGTTTATTCAATAGAACTGCTATCATTCCATACTATGTCAATGAAGTCTACAGATTTGATATTGCTGTTTCCTAAATTTCAAAGATAAGGCTTCTCGCATTAATTTCCAAATGTATTTAGGCTTGGGGTCAGCACTCAGCACTCAGCACTCGCATTAGTTTGATGATGCATTAATTTCATGATTTACAGTATTTAATTCATTGCTTATTTGGCAAATGTATTTTTCAGAGATTTGGCAAGAGTTTGAGTCTTACATTACAAGAAGTGCTGTACGCACTGTACATCAACAGTGGCAGTGAAGATGATGCTTTGCACTGGATCCGATTTGGTGTGGACACAGAAGGTAGTGTTGTACAAAGCTTTGCTGAGGTATATATTTTACATTATGGCAGTGTGGTTGTCTAACTATCACACACCTGTGTCGTTCCAACATGTCCCCTGCCGGGTGTGCTGGGACATTGCTGTGGGCTGGTGGAGACAAGTCTCAACAGTTTCTGGCTGAAATCAAGGGCATTTCCAGCCTGCAGCAAGGACCAGACAGAGGATGGGTTTGCAAGCTCTCACTCACCATCTCCAATATGAAAGCATTGTATAGTTTAAAGAATATAACATTATTTAAGGTGTTAAGTGGAATTAATTAATTTTCTTGTTTAAATGTCTTTAGAGCTTATCTGCTTAAAAAAAATTGAGTAAATATATCTCAGGCACATTGTATGTCCTATTTTGGTTTTGATAATATGAAGTCAGAGATCACAAAGCAATGACTTTAACTGAAGTTGTTATCACAAACTGTAAGAATTGTATTGCTGTGGCACAAACCCAATCCTGACATTCTGTATCTGCAGGGTACCCGGCCTGGAGTCAGAAGGATGATGAGATATTGCTGGGCACCGATGAGGACAACATGGTTGCCCTGGAGATGAAACATGGACCAAAGCGCTTGATGTCCCGTAGAGCATTCATTGAGGGCATATGAGCAGAAGTTAATTGTCAGAAATTATTGACCAGAATGAAAACTGTTACATTTCAAAATCTTTATTCAAAGTATATTTACATATTTTGAACATTGATAAATAATGTCATCTTCATGGTTATATTTACACAACAGGGGAATGTACAAATATTTAATTATTCTTCTTTTTTTTTAATGAAGGTTTTGGGCACAAAACACTTTCATATATACACTTTGGCAACATTGCAGTATACGCTTGAAAAAGAACCCTTGTTCTTTCATGACAAATCTCAAATCCCCTGAGTAAGGCCACTCATTTTTTAATTCTATGCAAACAAGCGATGAATGGTTGAGAAAGGGTCATGTGTAGCTGATGAATGGTGAACATACAGACATGATTTTGTCATTGCAATAAATATGCTCTAAACGAAACAAATTTGTTTTGTGGATTCTCAAGCTAATATATTCTTTTGATTAATTGTCAATGACCAAACACTTTAATCTAATAAAAATCAGATCTTAGTTCTCGCTATTGACAAAGATCCGAGGACATCTCATATGACCTTTCAATCTGATCAGGAAAGTGACAGTTGGAATGGGTTTTCTAATCATGCAACGCAGGGTATTCCAAACGACCACTGAATCCATCAAAATCATGGTCTGTGTCTCGCTTCAATGGGATAAACATTAGAATGGAGAGACTTTGCATTGCCTAGATTGTATGCCAGTACATTGGATATCTATTAGGTATTCTAGATTTGTATTGTCATTTTGAACATAGTGCATGAGAAAGCTGCCTTCTGGGATGTCCTCAGATGGTAATACATATCAGAAACAAATGCTTCCCTGTTGATGCTTCATGCCAGCTTCTTGCAAATGGTGAAATGTATATCTACACTATGTCATAAGTAAAAGGCACTTCATCAGCAAAGTTGGTTGGCTTTTTAGTTAGATGATGTTGATCTAATAATTTCCAATCAGGTTTTCAAATCACAATAAGCCCCCCTTTTCATATCACCATAAAACTCTCTCTTTTTATCCCATTGTCAGTAGGCATCTTTAAATATGTACAGATATAGTTTCCAATTTGTGATATGAGTATTACCATGTAGGAAAATATACTGCTTCAGGATATACAGTGCCTTATTCTGTTTAAAGGGTGCTGACAGCGATTCCTTAATTCAGATCCATGACTCAATAAAACTTGAGTTGGGATTTCAATGTAGAGCTAGGTTACCTGTAAAACCTCAAGCTGCTTAATGGTCAGATTTACAGGAAGAACACAGTATGTTTTACCTCCTAAATGACCACATTTCTATATAAAAATATTCACAGCCACATTTGGGATATCACAAAATATAAATAACTTAATTAATATTTCATACAAGAGATCCTAAGATAATGATGTGACCTTCATCTTGACAGACTATTAGAAGGATTTTTGCATAAATGTAACCACAAACGTTTTAGTGAGATTGTCTCATGACAAGTGCCAGATTCACAGGGTCCTTTATTGCTACACTGAATAATCTGTCACAAGGACCTCAAATTGGACCTTGACATTTGATTTGTGGGATATTTTTAGTAACATGAAAAAATACAGTTCCATGTCAATGAACTTTGGAAAATCACCAGTGACAGCACTCAGTTTCTAACAAAACCTTGCCTGCTTAAAATATCTAAACTTGATCAATAAATTAATCTAAGCCTGTTGTCCTGACCGTAGTGCATGAACAATCACTTTTTCATGGGATCGCTAACATACACAGTGTGGTGGTTGTATGGTGGGTCTGCACCAAACTCTAACCAATGCACCTGCCCAAAGGCTGATGGATCCAAGGTACCCAGGTATCCTTTTTGTCATTCAGATATTAAAAAATTTAGTCTGCCACAAGGCTGCAATGTGATTAGGATTATTGAGAGTAGAATGACAAAGCCAATCATAATAACCTTGACACAATATGATGTGCATTGTCTTAAGTAGCCATGGAATGTACAAGTTGGGTTTGCTCTCAAGACAGTGGAGACTACAGTTCTACAGTATTGAGGAAAATGTAACAATAACAACAAACCCTTTTTGAAGATTCCAAAGACTTGCACATTTCAGACATTATTCAACTCATTGAATGGCCAAAATATATTTATGCAAGTTGTCAAGTGAAACACTATATACAAGTGAGGTGGTACCCCTTATTATTATTATGAGTTGGGGAACAGGATAAATAATTCACAGTGTGGATCTCAACATGATGTATCATGGGCTGGAATACATGGTTGATCATATCTTCATTTTCATCATCAAAGGGATGCACATGCATAAGTTGACCATAGTAAATAACAACTTTTCTCATTAGTCATTAATCTTACAGTTCATGAATTCTGTTGAAATACTGCCTCAGTCACAGGGTTTTGCTGTGAGGTATCCTCCTACAACCAAACACTACTGGAACCTTGGAAGATTTGTCCACCCTGAGAAGTGCTGTACATTCATCAGACCTATGGTGAAGATCAGCATCCTTATCACTTAAAGTGAAGTTCGAGTCATCAAAGACTTGTGCATACAACTGACGATAGACTAATTGTCTGACATTTCTTGATTATTGAAATTGACATCATCAGCCTCGGGGACGATCTGGAAGGGAAGACATGGCTGCAGCTGATGCTGTTGCACTTGCTGGATCTGCACCTGTTGATGCAGCTGAATTTGGTGTGGCTGTTTGATAACACTCAGTGTGCTCATCTGTGGGATCATCATGACCTGCTGCCCTGTAGCAGCCATGGTCATGGGTTGGACCTGGGGCTGAAGGATGAGTGAGTGGGAGGAGTCTGGCGGAGGACCTGCATCAGACACACAATTCACTCAGTACCAGTGGTGGGATCATGTGTGGCAACTTCTAGATACAAGTATTGGTCACACACTAAGTAAAAACTAGTGATTTATATCGTAAATGTTTGCTTCAATAAATATTACACCAAACACGAATTAGTAGTGAAAACAAATATTTTCATAAATTGCACCATACTTGACTTTGCCATCTGTAAATCGTCTGTGTGCCATGTATTTAGCCATCCTGTCACCACTGATAAAAGCACATGCATATGCGTTGGTTTGCACAGTTGGTGTATCATCCCAGCCCTACTTATTACTACTTTACACTGCAGAGATGGAGAGAGGCTGAGCTACTATGGTGGGTGCAGTGTGAGGTGGAGAGAGGCCGAGCTACTATGGTGGGTGAGGTGGAGAGAGGCCGAGTTACTATGGTGGGTGCAGTGTGAGGTGGAGAGAGGCTGAGTTACTATGGTGGGTGCAGTGTGAGGTGGAGAGAGGCCGAGCTACTATGGTGGGTGCAGTGTGAGGTGGAGAGAGGCCGAGCTACTATGGTGGGTGCAGTGTGAGGTGGAGAGAGGCCGAGCTACTATGGTGGGTGAGGTGGAGAGAGGCCGAGTTACTATGGTGGGTGCAGTGTGAGGTGGAGAGAGGCCGAGTTACTATGGTGGGTGCAGTGTGAGGTGGAGAGAGGCCGAGTTACTATGGTGGGTGAGGTGGAGAGAGGCCGAGCTACTATGGTGGGTGCAGTGTGAGGTGGAGAGAGGCTGAGTTACTATGGTGGGTGCAGTGTGAGGTGGAGAGAGGCCGAGCTACTATGGTGGGTGCAGTGTGAGGTGGAGAGAGGCTGAGTTACTATGGTGGGTGCAGTGTGAGGTGGAGAGAGGCCGAGTTACTATGGTGGGTGCAGTGTGAGGTGGAGAGAGGCCGAGTTACTATGGTGGGTGCAGTGTGAGGTGGAGAGAGGCCGAGCTACTATGGTGGGTGCAGTGTGAGGTGGAGAGAGGCCGAGCTACTATGGTGGGTGAGGTGGAGAGAGGCCGAGTTATTATGGTGGGTGCAGTGTGAGGTGGAGAGAGGCCGAGTTATTATGGTGGGTGCAGTGTGAGGTGGAGAGAGGCCGAGTTATTATGGTGGGTGCAGTGTGAGGTGGAGAGAGGCTGAGTTACTATGGTGGGTGCAGTGTGAGGTGGAGAGAGGCTGAGTTACTATGGTGGGTGCAGTGTGAGGTGGAGAGAGGCCGAGCTACTATGGTGGGTGCAGTGTGAGGTGGAGAGAGGCCGAGCTACTATGGTGGGTGAGGTGGAGAGAGGCCGAGCTACTATGGTGGGTGCAGTGTGAGGTGGAGAGAGGCCGAGTTATTATGGTGGGTGCAGTGTGGTGCTGCTAGAGTTACCTTGAACTACAGGGGTGGAGAGGTGCCGAGCTGCTAGAGTGGGGCTGTTACCTTGAACTACAGGGGTGGAGAGGTGCTGTGCTCGTGTGAGTTGCTCTGTGATCTGTCTCAGTTCCTCTTGCTGGTGTCGGATGGCATCCTGAAGCTGTTCAGACTTATGGAGCAACTGGTCATGTAGAAGGCGTTGTGCCCGAGTCATGAAGATCTGTGGCTGCTGAAGAAGATTCTGAAACACAAGTATTAATTATTTATTGTCCATCAAATATTTCATGATTCCACATTTATCCAACTTCAAAAAACACTTTTCATGATCTGGACCATGTGTCTCTGTCTTAATCTCACCTCCTGAGGACTCATGACTGGCGCTGGTGACAAAGATGGAACCACACTAACTGCATCTCCCATTGTTACCCGGGACTGAAAATACATCAATCACATCCAAGCTTTCAGTGTCTTTTGCTATTTATGACAAAATATTTCACATCTCTTAAGATATTATATATCCATGCTGAAAACCTTCCTCTTAAAAATTGAAAAAATAGCTCGGCCAAAAAAATCTGATGAAATTACAGTAAGATAAAGCTGTAGCTTGTGAAGCCTGATCAACTCACCAGCTGATTCTGCTGGACTGCCAACATGCCATGAGGCAGGCTCATTATGTTGACTGGCACCATTCCCCTTGGGAGCACCTGCGGTAGCACTGGTGTTGACGGGGATGTTGTTATCTCCTGCGCTGTCTGGGACTGTGTGGGCTGCTGCTGTAGGAATGTCTGTAGGTTGCTAGTTAGTGGTTTACTGGAGATGCCCCGATCAAGTTGTGTGGAGTGAGGCATCTGACTACTTTCTGACACCTCTAATTGATTGACACCTGAAGAAAAATGATATACTGATTAAACCTATCAACAAGCAAACCAGTGACAGACTCCCTTAACTTCTTTCATAAAGATCAGAGGGTACAATTTATGAAAAGATACCATAACACTGTTTAGTAACAATCAGAATTTCCATTCAAAAAGTCTTTCTGAACTGACACACTCGCAACAGAACCTGGTCAACATTACCTGTGACAGTGGCATCAGGTGTCTCTGATTGGACAGCAGCAGAGAGTTGGTGTGAGGCTGGTCCAGATGTCACTGAACACGATGGACTGTGCTGGCCTTTCTCCATCTCAGTCTCATCCACTGACACCATTTCAGAGTCTTCCTCCTCTGTCATCCCCATCTCTTTACGAATACTGCTGCGAACCTCAGAGAAGCTGTATAGGAACAACAGCATCACAACATGTAAACCCTATGCTGTTGTCATTCATTCGTCTTCTATATTTAAGATACTGAAGTCCAAGGAATCACATTTTATTTGAACCAAAGGAATGGAGGCGTTTAGTTTGAGTATGTATTGTTTTACGCCGCTTTTAGAAATATTCCAGCAATATCATGGCGGGGGGACACCAGAAATGGGCTTCAACCACTAGGCTACCCCACTGCTCTGTGTGAAGATGGAACTATAAGAGATCAAGTACTGCTCTGGAACCAATCTGCACAAAGCGTCATGCAAGTTTGTAACTTTATTGATGAGAAGTTCTGATATAGACTACAATTCTTGCGTAGGGCTATTGATAATCAATATTTTCATACACAAAATGTTGGTGTGAAAATGCATTTTATTTATGTGGTATCAAATGGAAATAGACACTTGATTTTTACCAATCAGTATCAAGCATTCTTCAGTGTCATGGTAGAATGACAAACCAGTATGTTATTGTCAGCTTTTATTTTTTTTTGACACTATACAAACGAAAACAAAAGTAGTATGCCATTGGAATGGAGCCTTGACAGGTTACTAGTTATACATGTACAACTCACCTGACAACTGTGTTGGTACAGACAATGAATTCAGGCTTTGAATTCCACTGGTGGTATGTAATATAGTAATGTGTCTTGAGCCAGATCCACTGCTGGCCCTTGGTAAGGAAGCGATAGTGACAGGAGGTGCCCTCACCAGTCTGCATCACTGCAAGTACCAGAATGTTACACCCATCATCCACTGGCAACAGGAGGCTAAGATGCCTCGCACGCACGCACGCACGCACACACAGAGACAGAGCAAGTACCAGACTGTTGCACCCATCATCCACTGGCAACTGCAGGCTCTCACTCAAACACATATTGTAAGCAGGCACTGAAAGCTTCACCACAGCACCACAGCACCACAGCACCACTCAATATTGTACAGGCAGTAACAATAATTGTAAACTTATAATTGTTAATAATAAAATTGGGTTTCTTCAGACATTTGGATTGGACAGTATAACATTTGTTCCTGAAATATATGGAAACAGGCTCAGAACTTTTCAGGCACCCCTAGTATGCTACTAACTATGATGGAATGCATTGATGATTATTTTTCAACATAGTGCAGCACCATTGGCAGAAGTGAGAGGATTGTCTGGATCCCACTTGGGGGGGAAGGCTTCCTCCTGGTGGTGTAAAATATCCTCCAAAGGAAAAATGACATACTTTGCCAGACACTTCTTTTTTCATATTTTGGAAGAAGTGGAAATTTGACGGTGCCAAATCTGGTTAATACAGAGTTCAAAGCCACGAGGACAACAGGCAGGTTGTGCACAGATGCATTGTCCTGTGGGACAACACACCTTTAGTGAGCTTATTATTTATGACATTGAGCCTTGATATTCACAGTTGCCTAAAGAGAATAGGCATAATATTGGCCATTAATGGATTTGCCTTCTTTGGACTTTAGCTGATTGTGGCGAACACAACACAAATCCATGGTTACAAGTCTGCAGGATCTGCTTTAAAGAGATACCATGAACTTAGAGAAGAGCCTGAAACCTTTGTCATGCCAGACATTCCTCAGTGTCCTCATTAGATATGCCTCGTGTTTTGGCCATGTGACATGTGGTGAGTCGCTGATCATCTTCAAGGCTTCTTCCCTTCCCACCTCTTGGTAAATGGAGGAGCATCATACCCTAAACTTGTCTGAATGGATGGATGTTGGACCTTCAATTTACATCAACAGAGAATACACAATCACTTTGATGTCTGTGTGTGTATTTCATTTAAATGCAGCTGTAAGCTTGGAAAGTATTGTTCTAAAACATGCACACTGTATTACATACACATAAAAAAAAAAAACACCCCCAACCACCCCAGAAATTGTGTATGGTAACATGAACAGAGTGAAGTTGGAGAAAGCATTATGTTTGTAAAGAGCTGAGAACAAACAATACAATTTTGAGCCAGACTGAAATTTCAATTGAGAACACCAATGCTGTTTTTACCACAACACAACACCCTCTATAAGTATAGCACTGCTAATCTGGAACAATGATAAATTATTGTACATAATCAATAAAAATGTGTATAAATGTCCGTGTCAAAAAGTTTAATAACGGGTGGGGCCAACGCGTGCCCGGATGACAGCCTCGACCTTTTTCCTCATCCCTCCAATCATCTCAAGGGGAAATGGCACCCATTCATGATGCAAAGCTGCTGCCAGATTGTGTGGAGGAGGGTCGATTGTCTACACTCTATGCCCAAGAATGTCCCAAATGTGCTCTATGGGGTTAAGATCAGGACTCATTGCAGGCCAAGGTAGAGTTGCAATGGCTTTTTTTTTTGCCAAATATGCAGTTACAGCTCTTGAACGGTGGGGTCTAGCGTTACCGTCCATGAACAGGGGTCTTGATGCCAGAGGGTCAAAATGGGGAACAACAACTGGTTCCAGAACTTCCCAGATGTAACGTTCACCATATAATCACAAGGTCTAGCTTGCAATCGTGGGATTGCACATCCATATCATCACGAAGCCACCACCAAACGGAACAGTTGGTTTAATGTTCTTGGGGGTGTATGCTGTACCTTGGTGCCTCCACACTCTCGTTCGGCCATCATTCACATGCAGCTGAAACCTGATTTCATCTGGCCAATGGATACGTCTCCATGTTCTGAGGTTCCACCCTTGGTGTGCCAAACACCATTGTAATCACAGTCTCCGATGACACTGTACCAGTAGGGGGCTTTTGACGACTCTTTGGGCCCTCTTTCCAGCAGCTCTTACACAATTCCACAGACGTCTATGGGGTAACCAATTATACCTCAGGTAGGTGCTCTTTGCACTAATATCTTGTTTTCACGTCGTGACGTCACAGGAAGGCGTCCTATACGTGGCAGGTACTTTACTGAATTGGTTTGGGCGTGTTTTCGCACTAGTCGGCTGATTACTGAGTAATGGTAACCCAGTTGACGTCCAATCGCCTTGGAAGACATCCCTGCGGCATGCATACCAATGATTCTCCATCTTAGTGCTTCAAATAATCTCTTTCTTGCCATTTTCAGACTTGGGGATGACACAAATCAGTTTACACTGTGTGAACATACAGGCATGATGCAGGCAAAACACGGGAAATTAGGACATCACATTATTTGGATAAAACAACATTAATATTATTAGTACTGCCATCAACATTAAGCATTATGGTAGTATTATCATACACAATATTAGGGGGTGATTAACCTCTTTTCCTTTTTTATGTGTATACATCCTTCCTTGTTAGACCCAGAACTTTTCAGCCACCCCTTGTACCTCACCTGTTTTTTTCAACCAAACAGAAAACTTGGCATACAAGGTGGTATGTGTTTAAGCAGAAATGTCCACCAATGCTGTACACTCGGCTCAATCAACACACTGAACATTCAAGTCACTAGCTACAGTTGAAGCAAGCTGGCAAATGCACTGTTCCACCCGGCAAATGGATTTTCTGCCCAGTCAATTCCTTCTGTCCACATTGTGAGGCATTACAAAGAGATGTGTCCCCTGCACTCTACTTACGGAAAGGACTACAAACAGCAGAGGTGTGTTGCAATAGGAAAATCACTTGCAAGCAATGTACAGCGATTCACCTTACAACAGGGCGCCTTGTTCTCAAACCAAAATGATGGCTCAGTTCGACAGCAGAACAAGAAATTCTTGACTGGACGCGCCCTAGGTTAAACATAGTACCATGGCACTGTAGCTCACCTATATGTGTAATCAGCATTTCAAGATGTTAAGGCGAGGTGAGGTGAAATTGGGTTTAACGTCGCGTCCAAGATTATTGCACTTATATAGCGATGTGCATGTACGTGTGTGTGTGTGGCTGCTTGTACTAGTCCGGACTGATGCCGATTTAAAGTGCTAGCTCACTGAGATACCATGCCGCAGTTAAACATGAATACCCCACTCAGACACAGTATACTGACTCCGAGCCGACCAGTCCTTGTTTTAGCCCCTTAATGCCGAGCGCCAGACAGGGTAACAACAAGTACCATCTTTTAACGTCTTTTAATATGACGCGGCCGGGGATCGAACCCCGGACCTTCCGCTCTCCGGGCGGATGCTCTACCATTAGACCACGGAGGCGGTCCTCAAGATGTTAAGAGAGTGACGCTCAACAGTCTGGCTCAGCACTGATATTCAAATAGTTTCTGCATAAATACTGCCACTAACTGACAAATATGAAACAAACATTTCAACAATGCTTCTTAATCTGCAACAAAAAAGATTTGTACAATTTCTTTTTTATTGATTTAAAATAACACTTTCAAATTTATTATACGGACAAAGAGTTTCAGCAAATTTGGTTCACTATATTCAAAGAAAAATAGTTTCACAGCACAGTAACTTAACTGGATATAACGGGTTGCAGTCAGCATTGATATTGTATCAACAATGTTCTGCACAAATACTGAGGACTAAAGATTCAAACAAAATATGAGTCATCCTAAGGAGAAACATTCATGCCAAAGTTCAGCTCTCATGCTGGTGATTTCAAGATGTTTACTAATCCAAATTAGGTCAAAACAAGGTGAAAATTTATAATATTGCAAGAAATGAATCTGTTGAAACTAAAACCACAAATATGTCTCAGTAATGGCAAAACATAGATTTTTCGGTATGAACGCTGAAGTAGCTCTAATTCAAACCGCTTGAACAAACTGGGGTGTCATCACTGGTGGGAACAAGCATGTGAAACTTGATATTGTATGAAACTTGTGAATAGTTCTGGTATATGACTCGCTTTCGCTCTTCAAATACCAGAACTATTCACTCGTTACATAAAATTGGTATTACACGGGAGTGAGTTGAGTATTCTATATTTATGCAACGGTGGAGGGTCTATTGCCTGCATTCTATGCCCAAGAATGTCCCAAATGTGCTCTATGGGGTTAAGATCAGGACTCATTGCAGGCCAAGGTAGAGTTGCAATGGCGTTGTTTGCCAAATATGCAGTCACAGCTCTTGAACGGTGGGGTCTAGCGTTATCGTCCATGAACAGGGGTCTTGCATAAAAATTGGATTCAAAGCTCTTGAACAGATTTAGCAAAATCAAAATATTTTTTACATTTGTATACTTATCCTGCATTACTCTGTATTGCATTTACTGCTGTCTTTTGACAGAGAGACGAACTGTGTGAGATCCAGCTGCTGAAGAAAAGTTGTCCCAACCAGTACAGGAAGCAGCGCTCTCTCGGCACGTGACCCGGAAGTCATGACGTCACATCAAAACACATAACTGCATTAAACATAACATCTGAAACTTTGTGGGGAGGCATGCATGGCAGGCATACCTTCAGATGTGATCCATAATAAACCCCGGTCAAGGTCCAATGAATCCGCACCGCATACAAGTGATGACCGGAACATCTACGACCATTCCTGTCTTCAGGAAACAAGAGTCAATGCAAAAACGAAACACCCAAATAGGTAACCAAAATAGAATGAGGCAGGTAGCCAAAAACTAGAACTTACCTAAGAGCGAAACGCAGTAGAGCCCTCTAATCGACGTGCCCCGCTCGGGGTATCGAAGTATCAGCGGCATCGGCGGCAATATCTACGGCCATACCCAAGAGCGAATGTGAAACGCAGGAGAGCCCTCTAGCCTGGAGGCGATTAACACCGGTGAGGTCGACGGGCACCGCTCAGGATATTGGAGAATCAGCGGCGATGGCGTTGGCATTGGCGTTGGCGCCGGTGTCAACATCTACTACCATTCCTGTCGTCAGGAAACGAGAGTTGATGCAAAAAGTAAAACCCGGATAGGTGACAGAAATAGAATGAGGCGGGTAGCCAAAAACTAAAACTGACCTCAGAGCGAATGCGGAACGCAAGAGAGCCATCTTGTCTGGGGTGATAAACACCAGAGAGGTCGACGGGTCCCGCTCAGGGTATCGGAGAATCAGTGGCATTGGTGATAGGTGACCTGTTGGGCTACAACCAGGGACCAAAACTGTGAACGCCGGCGACATCTTCCAAGACTACATCACGGAGGTAGTGGTTGGCGAAGGCGGTGTCCGATCGCCAAGAACAGGCTTCCATGAGTGACTGGATGGAACAGTTATACTGTGAAGAGCCCTGGTAAATGCGATTACCCTGATCTCGTGTGGGTTGATAAGCCTTGGGGGGAGTGTCCAATCCGGCGGCTTAAAAAGCTTTGAGGATGACCACCCGGAGCCACAGTATTCCTGCTGACCAACGACTGCGACGAAGGGGAGACCGGGAAAAGGTGTTTCCTAGACTTGTGGCAGGCTTTAGATTGACATAGAAAACCTTCAGTGCCCTTACTGGCATAATAACGCTCCTCCTCATCCTCAGCACCCACAATAGATAAGGGGGGAGGGGAGAATGAATGATCTATCAGGCTGTCCTGGGAGTTGATACTTTACGATGAAGCAAGGTCCATGATGAATGGTGCCCTAAGAACCGCGTTCGAACCGGACACGGGAGACGTCGAGGGTGTGGAGCTCATTGACCCGAGCGGCAGTAGCCACAACCAGTAGCAACACCGTCTTCTTCCTTAGGTCATAGAAGGAAGACGAGTGGAGTGGTTTGAAGGGAGCCATTCGAAGGGCATTTAAGACCACATTCAGATCCAACGCAGGTGGTCTGAACTTGGCCTTCTGGTCTTCAAGACGGAACGAGCGCAGCCAGGCCTGTAGTTCGGGAATTTTTGTCATTCTCCGATCGTCCGGGATGGCAAGAACTGAGTTGTTGTCGACCAGGTATGTGGAGATGGTAGAGCCCTTCAACCGACAGGTGCTACGCAAGTACAGAGTGAAACTGCGGTGACACTGTCATCGGATCCTGGTGTTTGTCTGAACAAAATGCCTGGAACGAGCATCATTTATCATCATACAGTACCAATGTAGATGGACGGTGGGCTGAAGCAATAGCCTTGGTCGCTCTAGCCGAAAAGCCCTTGGCTCATGGGGTTTTCTGCAGATGTGCCAGGCGTGCAGACGAAACCAGATAAACCAACTTCTGGCCGGCCACCAAGGCGCGACCAAAATCAGTGTCAGATGCCGAGTGGCCTGGATCTTTGAAGAACTGTGGGAGGGAGAACTGGAGGCGGAAACGCGTACGCGTCGACTGCCACAGCGGCCGGATCTGGCACCAGTGAAATGTAAGGCGACAGCTGGCAGTTCAGAGATGAGGCGAACAGATCGATGTTTGGGGTGTCGACCGTTTGACATAGTCTGGTGAAGACTACTGGGTGGAGCTTCCACTCGGTGGGAGCCACCTAGTTAGGCCTGGACAGAGCCTGTGCCAGAACATGCTCTTAACCTGGTGAGTGCAAAACAAGCTCCATTTTCTTAAATTACAGGTCCAGGCTGACCACCAAGTCGAGGAAGCGGAAGGTCTGGTTTAGCAAGGATGGAGAGTGGAGAGTACCCTGGTTCCTCACACACCACACTATTGTGATGTTGTCAGTGGAGATGATCAACAGGGCATGACCGAGAATTCTCTACCTGCAAGTGACGTCCTGGATAAGCGCTTTTATCTCGAGGCTGTTGCTGTGCCAATGGTGTTGATCTCCGGATCACAGTCGGTCACATCGTGGGCTGGTGTGGGCAATCCCAGAACACTAGCCACTGACAAGGTGGAAGTGGCAGTGGAAGAGCGGGAAGCCATGGTATATGAGGTCGTCTACAAGACTGCAAAGTTGAAAAGTCAGCAACAGGGGTCTGCGATCGTGTACCGTCGGGACAATACATGGAGAGGTGTGCTCGCCTGCGAACCAAACCCCATGTAGACAAAATAAACCAGCTTCACAATCGACCGCCTAGGCATCGACGTAACCGGGTAGTCGGAAGTTGAGGCAATATGTCCAGAAGAGAATGAGGAAATCTGTAAAACTGTGGTTCGGGTAGATCGCACCGTACTGCACGAAGTAATGAGATCGTTTCCATCCCCAGAGCGTCGTATAAGCACTCCTGTTCTTAAATCGAGGTGACGATGAAGGACGACAACACGATACTAGGCAAGTTGTCAACAGGGGTCGATGGAACGGTCGTGGGACAAAGTATAAACTCGACGACAATTGTAAGACAACTGTTTCATCTTGGTTCCCTGTGTGATGATCTATGAGATGTCAGTAATAGAAGCAGATGTCAGTGGCGCCAGAGAGGCGATTGCCAATGGCGCCCTTTATGCCGAAAGCAGGAGATCGGTAGCGATACTCAGCTTGTTGATCTGAGCTTGTTGGGCACCGGAGAGCTTGAGGCGCCGGGAGCGCCAAAGAGCTTGAGGTGCTGGAGGTATTGCTTCTCAGGAGCGCTGGAGGAGCTATGCAGCTTGGCTGAGCGCGGCTGCTGTCAACTTAGATCGCTGAGGAGACAGAAGACCTGTCCCGTTACGGGCGTCACCGGAAGGGGCGATGTTGTCTATAAAGGTGACGGCAAGAGTGGTGTAGAAAGACCGCAGTCTCCGAGTTGTAAGCCATATCGGGGGGTCGACGAGCACGTTGAGTGAGGTGTGTCCTGGATACTCGTATCAAGTTGAAGGAGCACAGCGACGAAGGACTGCAACATCGGCACTGCCTTTTGAAAGTACAGGGTGTCGTACAATCACGGCAGAAGGGGGGCCCTGACCAGATTTGTGCAGCGAGGCAGAAAATCTGGAATTTAAGTAAAACATAACTATGTGGCAAAACCACAAAGTGCGGGAAGCAACATATAACTCAAAAACTTTGTATTTTATTGAAGTTTATGAGAGCAAACAATTACGCTGAAAGGTAGCAAGGCTTTAAATTACCCAAGCCAAAGAAAGAATTCAAAAGTGAGAACACGAAATTACGTGGCCACGTGGTGAATGGCAAAGTGGCGGGAACAACATTGCGCCCGTAAATTTCTGTGACTAGAGCCACAAATGAGCGATAAACGTAACAGGCCATAAACAGGTAACAATGTAGCAGCATACGATGAATGTAGAAACACGCAAAATATAGAAACAATAAGCTTTAATTTCCACAAGGGATACAAAGTACGTCCGTCCGTGGAGGTGACAAAGCAGTTATGTGTTTTGATGTGAGGTCATGACTTCCAGGTCACGTGCCGACTGTGAGAGGGCGCTGCTTCCTGTACGTGTTGGGACAACTTTCTTCGGCAGCTGGATCTCACACAGTTCGTCTCTCTGTCAAAAGACAGCAGTAAATGCAATACAGAGTAATGCAGGATAAATTAAAAAATTTGGTTCTCTTCATTGGTGCCTATCAATATTTCGTTACGTGACAGCAAAACCTTTGGTGGAACTATGACTTGTCAAACTTGTTCCACACTACAATAACTAACAATGTACCAAAGTGCTAAACTTATAATTACTTTTACTTTTACTTACTATATTATATAGCAGCAACTAAAAAAGTAAGACATTAGAATATATTGTTCCTGGTAAAATATTTGTTTCAAATTTAATTTCTTCCAACCATTGCACTTACTGAGGTATTACTTAATTGAATCACCTATATCGGTGAAAAACATATTTCTTTCAATTCTGAACAAACATGGCTGAATAATATGCCACACACAAAAATGGCTATGGACTAGAACTTCAAAAAAATTGGGAGTGTTCTGTCATCATTGTTCTGTGGGAACAAGTTTCAGCTTCATCATAGCAGTGGTTTGGAGAAGAAGTTCATACCACACAAACAGGCCACAGCATAAGTAGGAAAGTGGTAAAACTGTAGCCAAACGTGGCAAAAGGAAATTGACTGGGCTCAAAATACCTCTTAACTGTGCAGATATTGTTCAATGTCCTGTTAACACCAATCAGCTGAGTGGGAAATATTCTTACCTTGCAGTCTTTTATTAGACAGAATATTGGTACACATGTATTATCCAACACACAATAATGTAGTGTGAATACTCTACACACGGATTTCCTTTGTCACACAGAGAAGTGCAACTTTCAGGCCTGGAGTGAGTAGTAACAAGCCTGTATAGGTCAATGCCACCCTAGAGTCAATACCCAACATACAACACTCATCCTGTTTCAGTAATTAATACCCTCCATAAAGACCATCATGTAGAAAACATTGTATATACATCACCCAAGGGGTAACTAGTAGATAATATCCCACATCACCTGAGGGTTCATCGTAAGACAATATCCCACATTTTCTGTGTACGACTCTACATACACAGCTCTCACAGGTAAATCTTGTTTCATTAGGAGTTAACAAAGAAGACTTTTTCAGTACAGTATGTCTTACTAAATGTTCCCATTAATCAAGTTTCTAGACTGTAGCCTTTGGGCTGTCAAAATAGTGGACCCAACTTCTGCCAATGCCGATGGATGGCAACAGGAATAAGAATGTCTGGTGAATGAGTCCCTCAGTTGTAACTGTGAAGTGATAAGTGTATTGTGTGCAGCTAACATAGATTACCATTAAGTGGTGGGATCTCCCAGCTCCACAGTCTAGTCGCATGCAGGCAGTGTACAACATACTGACATAGAGGCTGATACTTACACTGCTCGTGGCATCGGGCAATATTGTCCAGGTCATCTGGATGATAGTAATCATACCCTGATGTGCCCAGAAGTTCAAAGGGCAGATAACCTATGACTGGAGGTGCCCTGAAACACAAGCAAGCATCACCTGTTTTACTTCCAACTACATGAAATACTAAAGCATACATAAGATATGAAAAACATCTACATCCTATAAGCTACACATAAACATCAACAAAATATCACCATCTTGTGTGTAGCAGGGTCTGCACTTCAGCTGTTGACAAGGGCACACCTAAGTGTGTACTATGTGAATTGTGGGGCAGATAACGTCGAGACATGCCAAACTTGCAGCTGTTGGTAGTACCTGCTTCAAATGCATAAGCTTCTTAATATTCTTACAAGATTTACTAAAAGACTTACCTATGATCTAAAAACAAAAATTTCCAGCCCAATGAATGCCTGGATGTGAATTCTGATGCCAGGTCAGTTTGTATTGGCATTTCACGGATGATCTTGGTGGTCTGTAGGCGTACTGTGCAGCAGAGGCAGGTGGAGTCCACAGGGGGAGATCGCATGTACACATAGCTGTCGGTGTCAGACTGGGCATCTACGGCAAAAAACAACACAATGACACTATTGCTATATAGCGCAAAAATTACCACTGTGTGGTTTATCCTGCAGAAACAAAATTATAGGATGTAGTTTTCAGGCAACATTTAGGTGCTTGAGAACCATGTTGTTACATGTATGTCCATTTACTGTCTTAACACAGAATAACATCAAGCACAAATATAGTTCCTGGTTCAATTACCATCAGCTCACAGCTGTTCCTGCATGAGAGGGATTCCTATACTAAACAAAATAAAGTTAGGGATCATTAATACTTTGTAGGATATTTTTTTTGCAGTCAAAAAAGAGCACACAATTTCATAAAAATATCCCCCAAAATATTCATGATCCTACAGTATTTTTTTCAGTGTATATGGATGTAGAATGAGAGACCTTCCTATGAGAGACATTGGAGCTCACACACCCAGGCGTGTTAGTGTTCAGTGTTGAGTAATGAACACCTACCTTCATCGCCATCCCAGGGGCGGCATGTCCCTGTGAACTCCACCTCCTCAAACACACGGAGGTCTTGAGGGTTTATAGCACCACACTGGACATGACATTTGAAGGAAATCTGATTTTCTTCTGAAACAAGAACAACCCAAAATTACACTACAGCCAAGCTAGAGTATTACTGTATGACATCAAACTTCACAAAGTAGAACACATTTCACTCACACACACACAATGGTTTGTGGCAATGTCATAGATAATGGCACAGTAATGAAGGGTAACTCAAGTTCTCCTGTCGGGTGGGTATCCACAGTACTACCCTGACCCGTGGTTAGTCACGTGGTATATTGTTTATTGACAAAAATTATCTAGAACCCTATGGTTACACAACAAGTCACTAATGCATGCATTTCTTTGTGACTTTGCATCCATTCCTTCTGACCTTTGGTTTGAATAAAAAATAAACTTCAGTTAACTTTAGTGTATGCATGACCAGATCTTTTTATATGTGTATCTAAATACATATCGCCAGGGGTCAAACTATTCCCCATCGGACATTTTGCACCCAACTCTTGAGACCTACAGAGGGTACCCAGGTAGGATCGGGTAATAGCAGGGTGGGTACCTGGGTAGTAAATTTGGACTCGTCCAAGCGTACTTTGCACTGTAATGGTCAGTCACTGGGGTCACAGGGTGAAGTGAAAACACTGCCCAGGCGCTGTTCTGGACTGCTTGAACTTGTTTCACTACTTTTCTCCTATACCACAAGGATGGTAAAACTGACTGGGCCACAAACCTCTCCTGATGTTGCTTGACACATTTCAACTCAAAGTCAAGTTTGGTTTCCATGGAGACCATATGCGGAAACCTTCTTTTTGCAATTGCTCATAAAATGTATGCAGATAATTTGATGAAATATGGTGGCAGGCTAAAATTTCAAAACATTTGATAAACATAGTGCCATGAGCACTGTAGCTCACCTGGATATAGTCAACAACATAAAATGTCAACAAAGGCATGCAAGTTGCTGTCAGCATTCATATTCAAATATTTCTGCATAAACACTGAGGAATATAAACTGACACTAATTTTTTTTGACAAAATAAGATGTCAATTTCAGAAGAAAAATACTTACAGAGCAAGAATGCCTTTTGAGAGGATTTAAGACTCTCAAACTCCATTCCATTCCATAAATAGGTTTGTCAATAAGGAGCAGGGTCAAAGTAAATGGAAAAACGAGGTCAAAATTTAAATATCACAAAAAAAACAGAACATTTATGTTCAGTTCTAACTACACATCTACCAAATTTCACTGCATTCTGAGAAGTTGACGAATTGACGAATTAAAAGTCACATTTACAATCACGAAAAATAACGTTGAGATAGTATTCAGCATCATATTTTGTTCTATATACTAAATATATTGCTCAGCACACTATCTATCTATCTATCTATCTATCTATCTATCTATCTATCTATCTATCTATCTATCTATCTATCTATCTTTAATATATAAAGTTGTAACTAAAATAACATGATATTAGAATATATTTTTCCTGGTAAGATAATAGTTTCAGATACAATTTCTTGCAATCATTGCATCAAAATTCTCTTAATCACTGGTAGATCTGGGTGAAAAACTGTATACAGCTGATTGCGATTTGTGGCTTAGTTTCTGTGACAAATACACTTGGTCATCTTAATCCATGTATATAAAGACAATACCTAAACAGTACAGGAAATACAATTGAAATGGTTGATCCCAATGTCTAGTGATGTTCAATTTTTTTACAGCACATAGTACTCAAAATGTCTTTTTAATAAAATACGGCTAACTTTGTTGGATGTTAATTAACTTTCAACATAATCTCCTCTTGTGTCCGCACACTTCTGCCATAATGCAGGAGTAGCTGGATCCCACTGGAATAGAAGGCTTCCTCCTGGCGGTGGAAAATGGTGTGCAGAAATGACATAATCATCAATTCTTAATGCTCACCAGGCAGTTCATTCTTCAAGTGTGGGAAGAGGTTGACAGTACCAAATCTTTTGAATATGGAGGATGTTCAAAGCCACAGTCATGCATTGCAGACATGGCTACCACAGACTTACAGACATACAGGTGCACCTGGTGAAACAACACACCTTTTTCCTAAACAGATTAGCATCATATCGGTCATGAATGGTCTGACCTTTTGGGAGGCAAGTCCACCTGAAGGAATCATTTGGAATCCCAGAAAACCAAATTCATCACCTTGACAGCTGCTGGAACAGACTTTTCCTGTCTGCTTTAAAACGACCTGGAGCATTTCTGATCAGGAATCAGAAGCCTTGGAAACTAGCATGCTGAATCCTTATGTCCAGTTCATACCTCAGACTGTTCTCAACTCTCTCATGAGTGATGCCTACTGTATTGGTCATTTGATGTGTGCTGCTGCATCATCCATCATTGTATCATGTACTTCATCAACGTTTTCCTAAGTAGTGGAGTTGAAGATCTTCCTGATCCTGGATCATCTTCAAGGCTCTCTTCCCTTCTTGAACTCTGCTGGCCACCTCTTAACAGTGGCATCATCTCCTAAAGTTGACCCCATGTCGCCATGGATGGCTGTTGAAGTTGCCCCTTTCAGATGGACATACTTGCTGACAGTGTAGTGGTCAATTCTGTCCATATACATTAACAGAGAAAACCTAGTCACTTTGATGCCTGGTTGTGTATTTGGTTTAAACTCAGCCTGTAAGCATAAAAAGTATTGTCCTAAATACATGCAAACTAATACAAGTGTACTATACATCCTTCAGAACTTTACAGTCACCCCTCATAATGTCAGACGGACAGACCCGCTAGCCTACATTTTGCCATGCGGACAGATATTCAGGCTCACCTTTACCAAACTCTGCTGATGTGTTGGCCATGGAGTGGAAATCTTGTAGAAAATTAGACACTTTCTCTCGATCATATTCATGTAAGAGGTTAAACAAAGACTTGGTGACAAGATCACTCTGCAACATAAACGAAAAGTGTTAAAATCATAAACGTGATGTTGTATGTTGACAGAATTTAATTACTTTTCTTCATTAGTCCATCTCATGTCCACATTAGAAAACAATGCTGGGATAATGACTCAACTGAATCATGTTTAACTTCTAATCGCCCCGAAGGATAAGTTTAACATTTGGCAGCATGCTTCAGGCAAGAGTTGAATATTCTCCTTCTTATTGAGAACTTAAGGTCTTTTTTTTCCAAAGCAAACCCCAATTTAAAGGCTTTCCGAGACAATCTCTGAAATTCAAGGACTTTTTTGTGTGCGGACCATGGGAAAAAGCAAACAACTTACAGGAAGGTGCCCCAGTAGAGATGTTACACTCTCTGACACATACAGGATCTTCCCCTTTACTGTGAAGACAATGAGGAAACTGTCCAGCGCCTGCAACACAAATTACCATCACCATCAGGCAGCTGCACATAACATTTTTAAAACGGAAGGTCCTATGCCTCTAACTCATTTAATAAGAAAGCTGTAAGAACTTCTGGTTTGTGAGCACTTCTCGCTTTCAGAAAACACATGATTAGCACAAACCATATAGTCACATGCCTGTAGCTTCCATGACAAGGAAGTTATATACACTTCCGGTTTGATGACATCACTGACAGTTTTGAAATACATCAACCAATGAACCCGATACTGGTCACTCTTCACCCTTCACACATTTTCGATGATTATTGCAATATCTGAGTGTACCTATACCTTAATGAAATGACTGCATTGGGTCAAAGCATAATTATAGCCAATATACTGATTCCCAAACAGAACATGAATACTCACCACTGATTGGTTTGACAAACATTAAAGCAGGACTCTATCCCAAATGTAAAGGTATCCTCTCTCCTTCATCTCTTGACCTTTGACCCTTTCGTGATGTACCAGACTAGAAACGGGTTTGCATTACATATTCACCTGACAATATGACCATTCTACATGACTCAACACATCAACTCAACATGCTTGATGTAAACAATAGCTTGATCTTTACTCCACTACAACTGTTATACAAGTGACAATCATCAACTGACGATACTGTTATGCCATAATCCATATCTACAGTGACAGTACCTCAAACTTACCTAACATAGAACATGTTGGAATTACCTAACATGGTGCCTCTATATGCTGACACCTTTGCTGACACCACAAGCCCTAACTCCTAACTAATTCTTTAGGCTCAAAACAATGCATACTTCTAGCCATTTAACACATGCAAAACAAAAAGCATGTCCATCTTCACCATTTCCCGAATGCCCATAAACATTGCCATCAGTAACATAAACCATATCATAAACCTTTCTGACATTAACACATAAAGGTAGTACAACTTTGAAACAGAAAGCCCATGCCTCAAGCTAGTTTATTAATAAAGTTATAAGCACTTCTGATTTAAAGAAATCACCTCTGATTTAAGATAATGCATGCACAATGCAGTACAACTTTGAAACAGAAAGCCCATGCCTCAAGCTAGTTTATTAATAAAGTAATAAGCACTTCTGGTTTAAAGAAATCACCTCTGATTTAAGATAATGCATGCACAATGCAGTACAACTTTGAAACAGAAAGTCCGAAGTACTTTAATTTTAATGACCTTGACCAGCAATTGCAGCCATGATTTGTTTGTTTGACATGCATCAACCAATGAGCCTGACCACCCGATCCCGTTAGTCAGCTCTTACGACAAGCATAGTCACCTTTTACAGCAAGCATGTGTTGCTGAAGACCTGTTCTACCCCGAATCTTCACGGGTCTGCAGTCATGAACTGCCTAGATATCTCACACTTAAAGTTCTTCAAAAAGCAATCTTGATGCTCAAGATATTGAGCTTTCGGGGTATACTGAGCATGCTGAGTTACTGACCTTCAACATCACACAATTACATGCAAGAACATCCTTCTACACCATGGCTATGTTACAAGTGAAGTCTCCTCATTAACTGAAGTTTTATTAAATAGTTTTGGAATTCCAGAGTTGTAAGATGCTCTTGTGTATACCTGCATTTTATTTTTTCTAAAAATTCCCTGAATTTTACAAAATTTAATTGTATCTGAAAAATGTAAAACTTTTTACAATTTTTCGCAGCTCTTAATTTTGCAACCATCCCTAAAATGTGTCATATCTTTGAAAATATCTGTCCATTCGTCATTTGAAAATATGTCCAAATTTTTTAAACCATTAACATAATGTCCACAATTTTTTGCCTAGAAATTCCAAGATATAATATGTATCTATCTATTCAATAAACAAATATAAATACAACTGGGATATTACATCCAAAAATATTGTGTTCATCATGCATTGTTTTTTGGACATGTGGTCTTCAAAAATACCAGAAAACAGAAAAAAAATTGGTTTGTCAAGTAAAAACAATGCATCAAAAGAAACTTATTGTGTCTAAATTGTAAGTTTATCGAAATGAGTTATCTTACTGGATTAATATTCCTGCCTGTTCACATGAAATCGTCACACTATGTGGTATCAGCTGACAATGGCAGAAGTCAATAAAAAAACAATCACAGGTAAAGTATCAAAACGCAGGCAAACTTTCACCACATGACATTCAAAGGGCAGGGCTTGAAAATCAAAACTGTAAACAATGTCTTAAAAATAAAAATATCAAAGGGATTTTGGAAACACAACAAAACACAAACTAAATGGATATACATCAACGCTTCCTCCTTAATTATTTATTTACATTCTTTAGACCACAAACGATCATATTTTAGATGATATTCAATTTAGATAAGACACGAATGGTGAAAGAGTTTTCACAAACGTACCCACCTACAAGAATGGTCTCCATGCGGGAATTACAATTGTTTAACTATTTCTTGTGGCCAAACAGCAAGTTAAATTTAGAGTTGATACCTTTTCTTCCAGATGTGTCCATAGATGTGAAAAACATGAGTTAATCATTCAAATGTAACTCACAAACATTGTAAATGTTTTTAACTTTCGGTCACTCATCATCATTTTTTGGCTGCTGCCCATGGAAAACACACTGCCTTCTGAGAGAAATAAATGATAATAATACTTGTTGCTATAAAACAAAAGAGTGAACCTGGAACAATATTCACTATTAATAACCATATTATGAACTGTCACTACTAATTGAAAGAAAATTCAACAATAACTTTTCGATACAGTACACACTACAGACAGAAATAGACAGCAAAATTGACGAAAGCACCATCATACCTCCAGGTAAGTAGAGTCTCTACAGTCATACCTCCAGGTAAGTGGGGTCTCAACAGTCATACCTCCAGGTAAGTGGAGTCATACTTCCAGGTAAGTGGAGTCTCTACAGTCATACCTCCAGGTAAGTGGAGTCTCTACAGTCATACCTCCAGGTAAGTAGAGTCTCTACAGTCATACCTCCAGGTAAGTGGAGTCTCTACAGTCATACCTCCAGGTAAGTGGAGTCTCTACAGTCATACCTCCAGGTAAGTGGAGTCTCTACAGTCATACCTCCAGGTAAGTTGAGTCTCTACAGTCATACCTCCAGGTAAGTAGAGTCTCTACAGTCATACCTCCAGGTAAGTGGATTCATACCTCCAGGTAAGTAGAGTCTCTACAGTCATACCTCCAGGTAAGTTGAGTCTCTACAGTCATACCTCCAGGTAAGTGGAGTCATACTTCCCGGTAAGTGGAGTCTCTACAGTCATACCTCCAGGTAAGTGGAGTCATACCTCCAGGTAAGTGGAGTCTCCACAGTCATACCTCCAGGTAAGTGGAGTCTCTACAGTCATTCCTCCAGGTAAGTTGAGTTCTCTACAGTCATACCTCCAGGTAGGTAGAGTCTCTATAGTCATACTGCCAGGTAAGTGGAGTCTCTACAGTCATACCGACAGGTAAGTGGAGTCTCCACAGTCATACCGACAGGTAAGTGGAGTCTCTACAGTCATACCGCCAGGTAAGTGGAGTCATACCTCCAGGTGACCCGTTTGTGCAGTCATATTAATTCATAAACACTTCAAGAATTAGTGTCACAATCTATGCTTCAAAAGTCACACACTCAGCAACCACAGTAAGTCCAGATACTGTGCCAAATGTGAAGAACTGACTTCACTTCAACACGCCAAATGTTTATATTAAATCAAGCGGTTGCAGAAGCAGAGGAGTTAAAGCCTTGGCCAAGAGACTGACAATTCTAAGACTGATCAATCTGTATTATAGGCAAATAGATAATAGCTCAATTGTGTCATTGCATTAATCTGTTTGGTCAATTTCTGCTAAGATATAACTAACTTAGAATGCATAAAGAAATTATTTTTCCACCATTTCATAAGTGTGTGACATGCTTGTATGGTTTCATAAAGTGTAAATCTACAGGGTCTCATATTTGTTTACAAAGGAAAAATAACTTCCAGTGTGACCTTTCATGGGTGACCTTTGTGAGGTCAGGGTTAATGTGTTATCAAGGACTGGGGGTCATTCAAACAGAGTGCCAATCCTAAATTTTTGAAATGATGGCTTGGGGAGTCACAGCAGTTGTGCCAAAGTCAAAATAGTGTTGTCCATTAAGGAGAGTTGATTAGGTATTCCATAGTTCCTACAGGTGGAACTTAATTACTCTGTACATCTAGGACAATGTGTTTGGATTAGAGATGTTGCTTCTGGGTTTTGTCATATTAAACAAGAACAAATTTGCACAAGTTCTGCAGAAATTTCTAGTTACTTTCACTCAGCAGATTTTCCGCAGTTTAAAAGGGAAGTTGGCTTAAGTTGATTTAACTCCAATATGCATCCAAACAGCATTGCCTATCCTGGTCTGTTGAGACGAGAAGTTTGTTATGAATACAGCTGGAACATTGATCAGCCTATGAATCCCTATAGTCTGATATCGTCATCATCATAGAATGTCAGTTATCAAGAGGTATTTCAAAGAGATAATTTTAATTGACAATAGGGAACCATTTAGAGACTATCCACGCAAAGTCTCAGCCCCTTGGTCATGAAGTTTGTAAACAGTTATTGCAAGGTGCTGTGATCGGTTCAGGATTTTGGGTAAATTCATTCATTTAGAAACATAGCGGGTGGGTTAGGTTTAAGGGAATTTGGGTGGCTGACATACCGGTAGTACCTATCTATGTAGTCTTTGTTGTAGCTTTTGCCCACATGGGCATAGTGGCTAGGGAGACGTGATTATGTCACGTTCAGCTAGGCATAAGCCATGATTGAGAGAGTCGAGATGCACGGAGCGTGTTCATCGGATGGGTCCGTTTTTCTGGTCATATGGTCCGCTTGTGGCCTATATAATCCTACCCTAGGTAGGGAATCATCAGTCGTTCTTTCACCAGTATGTGTATTTAACTTAGTATGTGTTTGAGAGGAGCAGCACAAAAGCTCTTAAAGTAATCTTATGTTAGGACAACTCAATAGTTATCAGGCAGTCAAAGATGCATTGTGTCAGAGTTACCATTCAGTAGAACAAAATGAAGCCTATAGAAGTGAATTCCAAAATCATCGACAAGGTCGCGATAAAGCTGTCTAGCACTTATTCATCACTAGAGGTACATTTAATTGGTCAGTTCTTAACTGGCCTGCATAGCTTTGCCATGGGGGAAAATGCCACATTTGCACATCCACAATCACTAGAAAATACTATTTCATACGCCATGGAGTTTGAAGCTGATGAAGGTAGCACGGAGGAGAGTCCTGAAACTCTAGACACACTAGCAGGAATCAATCAATCTGTTCAGTTGGTAGTGGTGATGTGACACTTGAGGCAGTTGCCAAGTTGATAGATGATTGCTTAGAAAAGTTCAAATGTAGCTTACCTAGTGTTAAGGCTCAATACCTTCTATGTCTGCAATCAACCAGGTCATTTTCGTGACTGGTGTCCTTACTTGTCAAAACTGGTTATCTTTATCAATATCAGGTGTAGGGAAACCGATGAAGTCATCGACACTGACGATCTCGTCCACAGGAAAAATTGTTTGGCGTTCTTTGAAGCTTCATAAATGTTTGTACATAGATGTTCTGATGAAAGGGGTTACCTCAAGAACGTTGTTAGAAACTGGGTCCCCAGTCCATTATCATGATTATCTCACAAGATGATGTCCTTAAACTGGGTTTACAGGATGTTAGGCTTTTGATTTTTGTGTTGGAAAGTGATGTTTCAACAAGAGTTTGTGGTTGCAGATTTAGGTGCAATGGGTAGATGGCAAAGGAAATGCGAGACGAAAGACACTGTCTTCATCAAGAGGTCGGCTCCCGTTGTACAAATTAAACACAAGCAGTTGTGCACGGGTCAGAATTATTGATAAGGTTATTGTTCCTGAGAGTTCTGATTAAAATTAATCCAATGTACTATTGATGGTTCATTTGGTGCTGATTCGGGTTCAGTTGAGCCAAACAATTATTGGAGAAACAAGGGAATTTTTATGGTTAGGAGTCTAGTTCAACCTGACAAGGATATAGTAGTCATTTCAGTGCTGAATATGAATAGCAAGAGATTGACCACAGATAGCTCATCAGTGATGGGTACAGTTGGCATGGTAGAACAGGTGGTTGCTTATGATGATGGTATTGTTACCGCTGATGCTGAAAGCCAGGACTTACCAGTCACTTGCAGTCACTCGTTGATCAGTGTTCCACTGATCTTTGGAAGGTCAAAAAAATCTGTTTCTGATTTATTGGGAAAATTTCTTGTGAGTGAAGATGGTTTGTTAGGGCAGACAGATGAGATAACTCGCACCATCACTACTGGTGGGGCAACTCCTATCAAATTGTCTGCTAGGAGGGTTCCTTTGACTAAGAAACAGTGAGTAGAGAATGAAATTGGGACGAGTAAACCAAGGTTAGATTTAGTCCGAGATGTGGTCACAACGGACACAGCCAAACAAAGAGGTTTATTTGCGGATATTTATTTCGGGAGTTAGAGGGCTGGTTGTACTATATAAAGTTCAACAGTAGGTGTATGAAAGTTGTACGTAGGTAGCAAAGGGGGAAAGTAGGAAGGTTTTCCTTTAACTAAGTTGATGAAAGTTGGCCCCATTGTTTAGTTAAAACATACTTGAGATCAAACTTAACTCTTTGTGTTTTATCAATAATTATAGTTGATAACCCAGTCAGGAGCCCAATATGACATATAGACACAAGACTACTGCACAGGGAGAAGAAAGCACAACGCAAAACACCACAGTAAAATATCAGACCTTTTGCCACCCATGTATACGGTTCTACTGTCACTGGGTGCCTATTACAGTACTAATCCTACCTAAGAGAACGTTGGTCAAAATTCTACAACATGAATAAGGCTGACAAAAAGACCCACCTCAAGCATAAGTTGAGAAAATTCATCATTAGACAGAAAAGATGGCTTCCAGTCCTCCTTTATTTCATGGATTTGAGATTGAACGGCAATTTCTGTAAATAAAAGACAAAACAAGATAAGTGGCAGTATGTGAGATCCAACAATTTCATCTTGGTAACTTGGTAAGCATCCAACGTGCAGCTGTCTCGTCTGGATGCTTGTTACACTGTAGTTAGAACTAATCTGAACATGGCATAACTTATTCGTTACTGAACTGATGTTGTTCAGTGGTTGGTATTGAACACAAGAAACTTGACTAACCTCAGAAAACCATACAGATGTATTTATCACTATTCAACATGTTCAAATCCATTACATACAATAACCACTATGCACTGTGTTATGACAATGACATATTTTTTCCAGGCCCTTTTTGCATATTATTTTCTAAAAGTACAACAACGAATCATGTGGTCTCCTGAAAGCCAGCTTAGCCTGAAATCGGTGACACAATGTCAGGATAAAACATAAACATTCCCCATGTCCAGTCAGTCTCCAGTGGGACATCCTATCTGCCAATTGAACATGTTGGTTGGCAATGAAACAATTTTGTCAGGAGTGAAAACAAATTTACTCTGCGAAGTATGAAACATTGAAATGTTTTAGAGGTGTTTAGCCCATGCAATGTGCAAGCCTGATTAGGTCAACTGTTGAAAACATTTTAGAGGTGTCCAGCCCATGCAATGTGCAAGCCTGATTAGGTCAGCTGCTAAGATATACATCAACATGAGAATTGTTGGGAAGAAAAAAAAAGAAGAAAATAAATCAACTTGGTACAAGCAGTTTTGAAGTGAGGTGAGGTGAGGTAAACTGGTGTTTATACTGCGCGTCCAAAATTATTGCACATATATAGCAATGTGCAAGCATGTGTGTGTGTGGCTGCTTGTACTAGTCCGGACTAATGCCAGTTTTATAGTTCAAGTCCACTGAGATACCATACTGCGGCTTAACATGAATACCCCACTCAGACACATATTCTGACTCCCAGCCGACCATTCCTTGTTTTAGCCTCATAATGAAGAGCAACAGGCAGGGTAACAACAAGTACCATCTGTTAACGTCTTTTGGTATGACGCAGCAGGGGATCGAACCCCGGACCTTCTGCTCTCCATGCGGAAGCCAGACCACTAGACCACATAGGATGTCCAAACTATTTTAACAGTGGCAGGGTGCATTTCTTACAGCAAACATCTTTGTCATACATTAAAAAATGTTTTATGTGAAGTTTACACAATGCACAGATTTTTAAAGACATTTTTAATAAATCATATTATCTATCTGAGGCAACAGTTGCCAATCATCACCCATTCTTATTTTATTTATATAATGACGAGCACACAACTGAGGTATTTTGCCAAAGGGGAATACTAATTTGTTAATAGAAAGAAAAATCAGTGGTGATAATATATGTGTTAAAATACTTGTTATAACTTTTAAATATATTGGGTGTAAACATTTCATAAGTTAAATATTTTATTCTAGGAGATAAAGATTGTTAAAGAAAATATAGTACATGTTGCCAATCATCTCCCATTCACTTTTGTCTTACACCCCTAACAAAATAACACCCCAAAGTAGATCCCAAGCGGTTACCATGCATGGCTGCCTACACTGATTCAATGGATTGGGAAGGAATGCACTTAGGTGTTTGTCCACCGATCAGTTCAACTTCATTCTAGAAATTCGACCAATCACAATGTAACCATAAATACAAATTATTGGACTCTCATTTATATTTGTAGAAATCGCATTACCCTGATCAACATGCATGAGCACTTTTCAGCTTTCATCAAAGTATGTCCATTACTGAGCAGATATGTCAGCTGCGACAGTCTCCGGCAGATAACACAATTGACTACCTTACCAATAAACAATTGATTACCTTACCAATAAGCAATTGACTACCTTACCAATAAACAATTGACTACCTTACCAATAAACAATTGACTACCTTACCAATAAATATCTATCTTAGAAACATGATAAAGGGGAACAGTGTTCTAGTTGCCAAAAGGTGGGATCGGTCTGGCCCTGCTTTTTCAAAAAGAAGGGCCTAAATAAAGAAACACATTTCGTTAACAATAAATCCAACACAAAGCTTCACTTGATATTAAGAATCAGGAATAGAAAGCAATAAATCATCATATCACCATCAATTTCCAGAATTTTGATTTGGGAAAACGCATTAAAAGTGTCTGAAAACCATTGCCATTACCGTTACTAAAGAAAGTTTACATATGTTATTGTGAGCCAATCATAACAATTTCTAACAGAGACAATCAGTTTCATGTGTCAAATAATGCAATCGGCAATTGGAGTGTGATGATATATCTAATTATCTATATATTGCAATTGTTTACCAGGCGATTGTACTGTTTGATAGGAATCTAAAATTGCCAATAGTATTCTCGATAGTACTCATTACAATAAATTTTTCAATGGTCACCATTAGTTATGAAAAAACAAATTATGCATCACATGTTGATTTGCAAGGATTACGACAACTTCATATTGGAGTTACTTCCCTTTGGTTTCGGTAGCGACAGAGAGAAGAATGGATGCTTTTGACACTGTCTGCAATACTATAGTCATTTCTATTACATTGATTAATATAAATATCAAGAGTTGGTTTCATACTAATGCAATACTACTGCAAAAGTTGATGAGAAAAGTGTATGTTACCATAGCATATCATCCTTCTGCGGCACTTAGACAATATCTCCTAGGTGTTTATAACCAAGTTTATGACAGTGTGTTTGATAATATAATTTGGTCCATCTCTACATACCTTGATGGTTTTTCAGGAAAGCTATGGTGGACTTCAGTACAGTAGACTTGTCCATTTTTTTGTTGTTGACAGACACCATGGAACACAGTTCATTCACCAACATGTTGAATTGGTCTCGCCGTTTCTTTTCACTTAAGTTACGGGTTTTCCTGAAACAGAAGAAGAAAACAGGAGATAATCAAATATCAGCCTTGATCTCATAGGTTCTGAAGATGGCATAGACTGGGGCACTTCTTTAATCATAAAACACATCAGTTTTGTTACAAACATCAGGCATTTGGGGCAACCAGAAATTGGCTTCACACGTTGTACCCATGGGGGAAAATGAATCTTTGTCTTCGGCATGAAGAGCATACGCTTTAACCACTAGGCTACCACACTGTCCCATATTCTAAATGAAATGTCCCTGGCAGGAAAGATGGGGGAAAAATGATTATTTCTTCAAAATTTGATTTTTTTTAAAATGATTTTAACATGGCCCTAAATGAAAAATCATAAAACCAGCAATAAAGCCCCTTCCTCTCTACTAGTCTTGTTATCAGAGAATATCAAGTCACTTCTATCAAGCCATAACAGTAGTTGGATAACATGAATTGGAAATTTCTTTATTCCAATTTGGGAATGTTTACTGGCATTAACTGCAGACTTGGGGCAAGGCCTGTGACCAATTGAATTGATAATGTTCTTAGTTCTGTGTTGTCTCACTGCTGGGTTCAAGGGCCAATGGTGGAAATCAAAAGCATTAAAAATACATTGTTCAACTCTAATCAATCTCACCAACACTGAATGAATAAATCATCAATAAGTTTCAAAGGGATGGTAAAATGACAGTAAACTAACTATTAATCAATCATTATGAAAAACAACACATATCTGACTTTTTAAAAGTTGCTTCAAGAGGAAAGCAAGTTATGAATTAAAGGAAGGATACTAATGTGAACACTTAAGGTTGGTGCTCAACCCTGTATCCTCACAGTTTGTGTCAACACAGCAGCCCAATCCCCCTCAGCAGTGGCCTGGCTTTACTCAGGTCACAACAGGTCGGCACACTGGCTAGGGTGGTCACTGGTTTGTGTCAACAATCACAGACAGGAAACTGGAATGGTCACTGACCCTCCCCACAATATGTCAATAACCAAGACCAGCACGTTGGGAATTAATCAGACCAAACCTAATGACGTAACATAATAGACAATAGAGTGAATATGGTTTTACGCCGCTTTTAGCAATATTCCAGCAATATCACGGCGGGGGACACCAGAAATGGGCTTCACACATTGTACCCATGTCGGGAATCGAACCCGGGTCTTCGGCGTGACGAGCGAACGCTTTAACCACTAGGCTACCCGACCGCCCCTCTCACATAAACTTAGACCTCAAATAAACTGAGCTTTAGGAATAACAAAATTATGTATGCAATAATACAAGTGTTGTTTGTCACTACATACAATATTCCTATTTGATGCCTTGTCAATACAAGAACCATTAAACTCAAACATCTGAACTTTCAATGAATTCATTGATGATTAAGTTAAATAACATGTGATAATGCATATTAAACTGTAAGTGGAGAATGTTAGAACCTTTGCACAAATAATTTAAAACTTCACTTTTGCAATTAGTATTTCCAGATAGTCGAGTCACGTTAATCCGACATCGTCTGTTGCACATGATTATGTTTGATTTACAAGTATGTCGGATAAACGAAATTAAGTAGTAACAACGTTCGTGTTTGAAAATTTGACAACTACACGATAGATAACAATACATATACGTTGTAATAAAATAATGAAAAACAAAATATTCATATTGTTGTGTTATATTTTAGTAGAATATGTTTTCTAATCATGGAAACTCTAATGCTTAACATAGGGTATTCTGAACTACTGTTACAGACTGTATGACTGATTCAAAAAACTTTTGAAAGCATAGTCTGGAATGGAAGTCGCCAATTTGACACTAGTGCGACAAAGCTCAAGAAAGCTGCATTTTTAGTGGCTAATGTCGACTTCCTGTTAGTCATTCATTTGGCGGTTGAAGTTCACAAATGGTTGTTCTGACATGACCTGTAATGGGATTTATCAGCAGTAGCTAGAACTTATATTTGATTTTAATGAGATCAAGGTAATCTAAACATGTGAATTAATCCTGGTATTTTGTTTATTTAAAGCATTAAAAGTTTATCTCTGCAGCTGTTGTTATATGCAGCCACTAGACAACTCGTCTTGCATCAAAACATGGGCTGTGTACTTGTGGGCAGATGACCACAGAGTACACTGATCACTGTATCAGATTAACGAGACTGATTAATGAGTGATTTCTGAAATTTGTTGCAAGATAGGTGTGTCAGAGTTGTAATGCAAGACTGTCGGATTAACAGGTCTAAATAGCACTGATTTAATTGGTTCCCATCATAAGTGTCGGATAAAGCCGACTGTCTGATTCACAAGTGTCGGATTACCAAGACTTAACTGTACAGTGGAAACTGTCCAATTTGGACTCAGTTTGGACTGGTAAACAAGTCTGGTTTACACAGAGTACAATAAGACAAAAAACGCAAAGATCGTTCACATCATTGCTGAAGCTAAAATGTTTAGAATAGAACTTGTATAACAATCATTGTCGGTAGACGCATTTAAATAATCATATGAACAATTATAGGCTACAAAATGTAAAGTTGCAGTTACAACATGTGGTAATATATTTTGTGCTGAAAACACTATAGAAATCTACAAAGTGTTAGGAACAACAGAGAGCTTGCTATTTGGTGCTTTTCTAAATACGACTCTCTGACATCATATCTTTTGTGTCACAATGAGCAATATGACGTCATAATAGATCAAAACCTTTGCAAAGGCTTGCTTATTTTTCTTTAGGGGTGCCCAGATCACCCTGTTCACTGAAAAGTTAGGTGGAACAGTGTCAGGTATAACCAAACAAACAGATATTACTGAACTGAATGCAATTTCAATGTATTTTTCTCACAGCTAATGCCATGCACAAACTGATAAACTTAACTCCCTCTTTTGTGAGATGTTTTGCTGTTTTCAGCGATTCCGCAGTCACAGAATATTTTGCAGAATGTCCTTTTGCTGTTTTTGGCAATTCCATGGTCACAGAATATTTTGCAGAAATGTCCTTTTGCTGTTTTTGGCAATTCCATGGTCACAGAATATTTTGCAGAAATGTCCACTCGGTACAGAAATGTACCTATCTTGCAGAAAATTACATCTTGTGCAGAACTAGTACAGAATTTTGCATTTATCTGCAGCAAAATTTGTCAAATACACTGCAAAATTTTAACATTTGAGACAAAAGCTGATTTTAATTGTGTAAAGGGATATACATTTTGTTTTGAAGTGAAGTTGATTTTTGTATTATTGTATCCTGATTCACTTCAATAAGCTACTCTAGCCATGAATAAGTTTATCATAAAAATGCCTGCCACATGTCAAACATGTGCAAAACTACAAAATTCTCGAAAACTAAGCTTAAAAAATTGCAGAATTATCAAAATTTGGTTTCAGAATTTACAAAAATTGTCTTTACAAATGATTGATTCCTATTGAAATGTTTGGTGTATGCATTAGTTATGTATTTATGTCATGAGAACAAAGCAGAAATAAGGTGGGATATAGAAACAGCTGTTTGGTAATGCCTGACACTGCTCTACATAACTATTCAAATTATTGACCTGTGTCTTTCACAGAGTTTGAAAAGGGCATATATTCAAACATGCATGAAACCCTTTTAGAGGCAATAGTGTCATTACAAACAAGGATTTAAATGGGGTGACTATGGTATATGAATGAATGACATGATTTGATTTGTTAAACCTTTTAAGATGACAAAGACCCTAAACAGTTTCTGTGACGTTACTAAAGCATTGGAGTAGTGTTTGACAAAAAGTGTATTCCATAAATTTAGGTTAAATGGTATACATGGTTCACAAGTGAAATAGTAAGAAAGGTATTTGAGCAAAAGAAAACTGATCCCTGGAATCAATATATTAGCCAGTCCTAGTCCTATTGCTTTTACTATTCATCAAGCATCAAGTTAAAGACATTGAATGTAACATGAAATTATTTGCTCACTCAGCCAGCTACTCTTAGATTTAAAACTGATATTAAAATGGGCTAAAACCTGGAAGGTCAAGCTTAATCCAACTAACACAGAATTGATTCTGTTTTCTAAAAAAAGGAAGTATATCAAGCACGCCATACAAATTCATGAATGGTAATCCTGCATGGAAGCTGCAGCCACAGGTGTGAAGATAGTCTCCATTACATGATTATTTGTTTCAATAGCCAAATTACAGTGTTGTCAGATCAAATTGTTATTTCCATATTAAGGGTTTTGATATTAATACTGTAATAAACAGAAATTGTAATTTATCACATGAAATTAACTTTAAAATAATTAAATATGTTCACAAATATAATAAAACATTTTCTTTTTCCAAAATTGTAACAGTGTATATAATGTTAGAAATTTAGTAATGCATCTGTTTATTTGTCATTATGTACACCATGTGTTGTTCAACAGCCAATATAATGAACGACTCTGTCAAAGAGATGACTCCAAATTTCTTTACTTTCTTTGATCTTCACTGCAGTAAACTATTGTTTGAATAGAATGGTAGGATGGCGAGTGAGTGCAGGAGGTCAAGCTGGCCAGTGTCTGGCTACTTCCTACACCGCCAACAGGAAGAGGAAGACCGAGGAGCAGGTCAACACGGTCAGTCATGCTGTGGCAAGCTCAAGTGAAACAATGCCAACTCTGACAAGTAAACACAGCAATCGATTCGACTTAGGGGTTAAAACACTACTCTTCCGTTATGCCTATTGTATAGGCTCAGCAAGGAGTCACAAATACCCTGGAGTTCCCAGTGTAGGTTTGAATTGTTTTTTATGCCAAAGTAGGAAAAGGGAGTATCACTGTTCCAAGCCACACTGAGCAGCAGAGTAAAAAATACAATTACCAATCTTCTGCAACAATGGATGTACTTCAAATCCTGTAATCCAAATGGCTTGTTATAATCAATGGTCAAGATTTGGTGCTCGTACATGGTACAATTGACTAATATTCTTATAAAACATGCTTTCAATGAAAGTGTAATTATGGCCAAAAACAAAAACTGGTTTATCAACTCACTGGTATCTTGGACATATGAAAGATGCATCAATATGCAGTGTTGGAAACAAGCACCTGCAGGTAGATCTTGTGTAGTAGTAGGCCAGTAGTTTCAAATTTGCAAGGGTCCTTATGGCCTGCAGTAAATGTATGTGAAGACAAATTTGTCACAATAAGCTGCAGTGTTGTTAATGAGGGCCGGGAGAGTTTAGCATGTTTAGGCTTAGCATGTTTAGGCTTAGCATGTTTAGGCGAGGCAAGCAGCTTCTAAAGTCTGTGGGTCAAGATGGCAACGAGCGTGTGATTACTCGCTGAGTCCACCACAGGGAACACCAGATAACATCATCCTGCACACAGGAGAAAGATGCTGACACATTGAAAAATCCAGCCTCTTACTTTACTTTGCCTATTTACCATAATTACAATCTAACCAGAGCATTAGATAAGCGGCATATTTGTGTAAAATACGTAAAATAAATCATTAATATTAATATTGAGTTGCTTGTCAACAATTAGACATGAACAATCTAAAAAAAAAACAGTATAAAAACTGCATAATTACCCAGTATAGACTTTTCAGCTTGCATGTGGAGAATTTACATATAAAAGCACTTCCAGTATTTAGCTCCTGGGTTTAATAACACGATTTATTTCGGGGGGTTTCGCTCATGGGCCTAGATTAAGAAATCAATTTCTAGTGATACATTCCCAGCAGAACTTTCCAAACACTTGAACAAGATAGACTCAGTGCTGAAAGACTTCCATATTTATATGGTCTCCTCATTTGTATTTCATCATGTTTTGGTATTGAAGTTGGGCATTAGTGTTATATTGTACTTTTGAACTTAGTCGTGTTCACATATTTTCTGTATTTAAGCCCAGGGCTTAGTTTTGGATAAAATATTTCTCCCTCCAGCATAATCTACTGCAGCAGTAGGCTGGACCTGTGTTTGGGAGACATTTCAGCTCAACAGATGTCATGGTGTCAAATAAAATATCACAGATCAATGTCATTTCATAGTTGCTGATGAGTACAGATGGAGCCAACAAGTTCTGACGTATGCATCATTATTACAACATTCTAGTCTTCGTCATTTCTCTGGAGAGTTACCTCATCAAGAGTTGCAGCCCTGTGGGCGCATGTCAACTAACTATGTCATAGGTAACAAGGCCTTCCTTCAAAATCTCAATCTACACATTTACTGAAATCATAGTTACACAAAAATTACTTCCTCCAAAGTGCAAATTTGAATACAAAAGGGCCTTTAATGCTATCCTGTTATGCAATGCTCTCCCATAATGCTATGCTATAAACTAATCACATCCAAGAAGGTACATGGTCAGATTTCTATGAATTCCATACAAAGCTTATTGTTCAAGTCATTTCTAAGTTCTACTTTCTAAGACAAATTAGAAATGGCTGTAAATTATGTTGTTTTTCTACATGCATTCCAGCTTAGCATGCCACTGGGAATTGTTACTTGAAGTGACATGTTCACACAGAAGCTACTTTACCACTGGCCAGCTACATTATTAGTCATTATTACAACATCAAAGCAGATCTGATGGTTGATATATTTGTCTAAACGGCTGAGATGGATTTGACCTCAGTAAGCATGCATGGAAGCTGATGTAACAACAGTGTACATTCTAGAGTGCTGCATTACCGCATCTTCTTCAGTAACTATCACCCCCATGCATGGAAGCTGATGTAACAACAGTGTACATTCTAGAGTGCTGCATTACCGCATCTTCTTCAGTAACTATCACCCCCATGCATGGAAGCTGATGTAACAACAGTGTACATTCTAGAGTGCTGCATTACCGCATCTTCTTCAGTAACTATCACCCCCATGCAGCAGTTGGGCAGCAGCAGTTTCCCATATGAAAGAATCTCACATAAATACCTCAATGGGAAATATTTAATAGATAAACATACTGTGTTTTTAGACCTAGGTTACATGTAGATTTAACCAAACTACATTGAATTTTGGAGTGAAAAAGCAGCATTAGCTTTCAAGTGTTAATTCATGGTTAAATCTACAGGCAACCTAGCTTTCCATTAAAAGAACAGTACCCTGTACATTTATCTTCAATCTACCATAATTTAAAAAAACATGAACTCTTTGGTGTCAGCAAAATGATTAAGTGAAGTGGCATGGGTTGAGTAAAATGTTTTGAGCGGCTTGTCAATCAGAATTACGGAGTCAAGAACAGCAATTAAACAAAACATTCTTTTTTTTACACCTGAAGACTTCACTTGAAAATATGATGGGCATTGAAACCATGTAGCACTGCAACGTTGTGAGCTAACATGAAGTGGGCACCCCCCAAGTAAAATGAGCATGCCTTGCAAGGTTTCATTCTACAAAGCACGTCATTGTTATGATGTCGCATCACTCATTGTGATGCAAAAGAGTGAGCACCAAATTTCAAGCTACTGTTGTCCCTAAAACTTTAAAAACATTTTCATTGAAGATTTCTATTGTGTTTCCTACACAAAATGTATTGCCACACATCTTTTGAATATTGTACTCACTGTGACTGTGCATTTTGTAACTCATAATTCTACCTATAAATACTTTTGACAGCAAAAATAGTACAATTCAATATACATTAGCTTCCACAGTGATGCTGCTATCAAGCTGGCTGTTTCAATCAGAGGAGGATTATTGTATTGTCATAACCTTTGACTGACCAATCACAATCAAGTTATTTCCAAATTCTGGTAGAATGTATGCTATTAACATTTGTGAACTTGTTGAACTAGCCAGTGTTTATACTGAAGTAAGTAGTGTGCAACGCCACCAAGCAACCTCCATCATGCCGCATGACATCTTCTTTAAAACAGGCTGCCTGTCATTCCTAAACCATCTACTGATAGGGCAAAGACTGCTGTCCACAACAACATACCGGTGAGGTCAAGCATGTAAAGACGCAAAGGATATTTGTACTAAAGTATGGAAAAATACAGCGAATCTTGTGATCATGGTGATGGGAGACAAACTACTTGGTGGTTCCCCTTTTGAAAATGACCACCTCTCTTGAAAAATGTCCCCTCTTTTATGTCACTAGTGGGCCTGAAGTGCCCTTCCTTTTTGTCAACTTGTCACTGCAACCAGCATCAACATGTCCCAAAACATATGGCCTTGCCATAAATCATGAAGAAGAACTAATCTGGAAATACATTCTCATGGTGTTTTTCCACTTGTTGGTAAGATTAATTGAAGATATTTCATATCATCTCCATACATTGGAGCCACATGTGACTGTCAATAGTAATGCACCCAAGACTGGAACCTACAGGAAGTGCAATAGAATTAGAGTTTCTGTCACCTCAGACAAAGTGGCTTTCGGTGTTGAGAAATTTCATATTGAATAAAATTCAACTTTACAGATGGAGCAATTAAACTGTCTGTTGACAGCAATCATCCATATCACCACGTGACTGTAACAGCAACACCTCACAGGTGAGACATATTTACAACACTAACTGCATTCCTCAAAGTGGCTTCATTCCTTTCTCAGCCACAGTATGAAAAGACAACCTAGTGAAGCACATCAAACAAGGAAACTTTGGCATCAAAATCCAACCGATACACACTTGCAGACATGTGCATGTTCACACAAAGCAGCATAGTCACACAGACAGACACTTGACACAGTAGTTGTAAATCATATCAAGCATGTTCAAGGTTACTTCATTGTGTTTCTGTACATTCTATGTCATATTCAGTTGCAGTAGTTTAGCAGTGAACCAGTGACACAAGAGTGTGATGAGATGATGTCAGATCTGTAGTTCCACCAGTACCACAAGCCCACTCTTCACTGGTATTGACAGTCAGTGTTGGTAGGACAGTTCATATAGCACCACCCTGGGCATCCACCAATACAACCTTCTCAGCCAGACCATGGAGAAGCTTAGTACTTAGTGTCTTGTGAAGTGGCCTGCTCATAACAAGCAACAGCCCCATCAGATGTACTCTTATGAAATGGTGACATGTTTGTCCCTTGAAGCCACAGACAAGCACAATCATCATGCAGTGTAACAAGCAATGCTACCATGGCAGCCCTAGCGGAGGGACAAACCTACCTTTTCACATTATCTTTCACATCATCCTCAAAATCGTCAAAGCCCATGATACTCTCACTGAAAGGAAACAAAACGTACACAAATGACATACATGCACATAATATGAAATTGGTATAGGATGTGCGCATGTGCGGCTGTGAGGACAGGTGGATCACATAATAGACAGCCTCCATATTACCTTATCAATCTCCAATGTATCAACAGATTTCATATTGAAACAAGCTGTCATCTGCACTTCTGAATCTAAACACCAGGTCACTTACAATGTGAAATATGTCAAACATGTAACAGCCACTGTTACTTATGTAACTTTCACTATGAAACGACCCTGAGTCAGCATGAAGATACAAGGCAAATAACTTGGACCCAATTCAGAATATGAACTTGGTTAACATTATATTCTGCTTCAACCTCAACCTCCTACTGGATCACCTATAAATGCAGCACTATACAAATAATTTCTCACAGGTTCCTATCTTTTTATTTTAAGACACAAAGCTAGCAGCACATCTGTGACTATAATAATCAAATTGGCCAACAATTTCAAATTCTTAATTTCCTTCCTCATATTTTCTACTGGGCACAAGGCTTGTGAATTCCCCCCAGTCAACAGACTGCCAGCAACAACTGAGCACATGGGATTGCATAAATACTGCAAACAGGAAAACAGTGCCTGCCATGTCCTCAGTCAAGATGAGTTCTTCACTTGCCCTCAAGACGGAAGGACACTCAAATATTTGACATGAGATTGAGTTCAGATCAATGTTGTTACAAGCAATTCCTGTATCCACATAGTGTGTGTCTCTAAATACGGGAGAAGTCTTGGAAGTGGCAATAGGACTGTATATATGGACAAATACATAAACATCCATTCATGGAATAGTTTCTAAACCCTTTTCAAACTTGTTGCTAGTTATCCCTAAAGAAATATATTAGGATACCAAATCAATTGATCAAACCTACGTACAACATACTGAAATGCATGTCACCAGTACATGTGTAGGTTCAGGTAGGTACGAGAGTTGAGTATTACCAGTACATGTGTCACTGAGGTTCAGGTAGGTGTGAGAGTTGAGTATTACCAGTACATGTGTCACTGAGGTTAAGGTAGGTACGAGAGTTGAGTATTACCAGTACATGTGTCACTGAGGTTCAGGTAGGTACGAGAGTTGAGTATTACCAGTACATGTGTCACTCAGGTTCAGGTAGGTACGAGAGTTGAGTATTACCAGTACATGTGTCACTGAGGTTCAGGTAGGTACGAGAGTTGAGTATTACCAGTACATGTGTCACTCAGGTTCAGGTAGGTACGAGAGTTGAGTATTACCAGTACATGTGTCACTCAGGTTCAGGTAGGTACGAGAGTTGAGTATTACCAGTACATGTGTCACTCAGGTTCAGGTAGGTACGAGAGTTGAGTATTACCAGTACATGTGTCACTCAGGTTCAGGTAGGTACGAGAGTTGAGTATTACCAGTACATGTGTCACTCAGGTTAAGGTAGGTACGAGAGTTGAGTATTACCAGTACATGTGTCACTCAGGTTCTGGTAGGTGTGAGAGTTGAGTATTACCAGTACATGTGTCACTGAGGTTCAGGTAGGTACGAGAGTATTACCAGTACATGTGTCACTGAGGTTAAGGTAGGTACGAGAGTTGAGTATTACCAGTACATGTGTCACTCAGGTTCAGGTAGGTACGAGAGTTGAGTATTACCAGTACATGTGTCACTGAGGTTCAGGTAGGTACGAGAGTATTACCAGTACATGTGTCACTGAGGTTCAGGTAGGTACGAGAGTTGAGTATTACCAGTACATGTGTCACTGAGGTTCAGGTAGGTATTAGAGTTGAGTATTACCAGTACATGTGTCACTGAGGTTCAGGTAGGTATTAGAGTTGAGTATTACCAGTACATGTGTCACTGAGGTTCAGGTAGGTATGAGAGTAAGATACATAAAGAGAGAAAGTTCACAATCTATACTAATACAATCAATTAATGCAAAGAGAAGGGCAAGACATCCTAATTTTGTTCACCTGCTTCAATCTGAACAGGACTGCAGGTACATAGTTCATTCAATTCACTGTCTTGATTGAAACAACATTTCATATTATGAGGCAGTGTTTAAGCCTGACAGTCAGTGGGTCCTTTTTATGGCCCCTATGTTAAACACTGAAGATTTAAGTGCCGTTATTCAAATACTTCAAGAGCTCAATAACCCCAGCACCTCATTTGGATATGGAACATGCTCGTCAGTTGCTAGTGTATCTTAGTCATTAACATGTTCTTGTTATGATGACCAGAAGCATCACATTACCAAGAATACCAGTGCTGGAATTCTTAAATTCAAACCCAGGAAAACTACAGCCAAGGACCATGTCACTAGTTAAATAGACAGAATCCGTACGTCATTAGTACAAAGTAACAAATGACTGAGTGAATGGTTTACATGATGCATAAATGTATATAATAGAATAAAATAGAATATGTTGCATCCCGAGGAACGTAAAATAATATTCACAGCATCAAATTCTTGACGAGGTCCTCCAATTAGCAATTAAAGTAAAACGTTCAGTACAGTACAGTACAGTAAAGTACAGTACAGTACAGTACAGTACAGTACAGTACAGTACAGTACAGTACAGGACCCTCCTATTTCCTGTAAGGACCCTTGAAATTCATTAGTGGGAGGCCATGGACCCCTAGTTTTGTAAGCCAGGATAAAACCTTGGTGGCTTTGCTCTTATTTTGGATTATCATGGCATGATAACGTACTGTGGGAGGGAAGTGAAAAGTAGCAAATCACAATCATACTCTTCCCCTACAAATATATTTATCCTGAAGCAATTACTGAGTATAACACAAAAAAAACATCTTCAAACTGAGATTTTCAGTACACAGTGAGATATACATAGTTCAGTACATAGATTAACATGTGCAACTAACACTAGAGGAAGCACGTTTCTTTCCATGCGGCCAAGGCCAGTTGAACACAAGTAACATCAATGAACATGCTGGAAGGTCTCATTTCATATTGTTTACAATAAAGGTCATAGTTGTAAATCTAAGAGGCATCCTGACTTTGATCATGTTGATCAAAACAATCATTTTAAGATTCAAGATTTAATTAGATTCCACAGTATTACTACTACTTCTCATGGTAACCAGCACTAACATATAGCTAGGAAGGAAACTTACCTGGGGTAGAATTCCTCATGATAAGAAGGCATGTCTGCTGGAAGTATATGTCCTTTCACCATGATGGAACTTAGCACAAATGAACTCACTCTTACAGGTCCCCTCTTTTACTTCCGCAATTCAAATTGTAACTGAAATGCCCTCTCTGAACGCCCAGTGACCTGCTTTTGGCAGCAACGAACCAGCATGACCCGGCAGAGAGCGACAAGATGTTGACATGCTGCCTTTAACAAATACACCAGCAAACTTGCACTTCCTCAAATGGCATGGTTGGGACCCCTCTTTCTTAGCTTAAACCCTTGTCAGTAGATACTTCATGTCTGACAACTCTTCAGTTACTTCCCTTTTGTATTTCTCTACCAATGTCAAGTAAAAGAGTGGGATATTTGATAGGAGAAACACAGTGGGTTACATGGGTCAACAAAACATTGGCAGCAGTCCTCTCCCCCTACAATGCTGGCTCCTCCTGACAGCCCCAGGGAAACAATCCCCCTACCCACTCTCCCGGCAAAGGGAAACTCTTTTTGTATATCTTGTGGGGTTTTGTTCCAGAAATTCGTAAAAACATTGAGTGTACATAGACTTGGGGCCGTCTACAATGAAACAGGAAGATGTGGAAGCGTCAGACAAGACAAGCGAGATTGCTAGAACATCAAAATGAATATGATGAAACCTCAACAATACAACCAGAATATTCCATTTACATATCAATACTACATTACTTATCGCACACTATTAAAGCTCCAAATATGACAGCTAATTATTGACACATATCATGCAGATTATGAAATCAATCCAAATTATGCATGCTTACCGTATTTGCTTGTGTATAGTGCGCACCCCCATTCTTGGGCACGAGTTTCGGGAACATTGCTATTCCATATATAGTACGTAGTCAAAACTTCATGTTGCATCATATCACTTCAGGTGAACAGAAGGAAGATAACTTGGTCAATGAACATGTTAAATTTGCGATAAAACACAAGACATCATGACTTACAATTTCAATTGTATTTACTTCATATGCTTGCCATTGTTTAATAAGCAGAGATTAAGATTACCATGGGTAATTGTCTCTTAAAATAACGCAAAAATAGCAATCAGCAACACACACATTTTCTGCCCATTTTACCAGTGATAACGTTTAAAAATACCCAATATTTTAACTGAAAAGTAGAAATTGTCTCTGAAACTTTTATGTCACCAGGAACAATATATTCTAATATCTTGTTATTTTCATTGCTGCTTTTGAAAAAAAAATAATTAAATATCCATAAGCGTCACACTCGGTTATGTTTCCAGATATTTCATACGTATGGAACAGTTTGACAAGTCACCGTTTAAGGCTTTCCAAGGACTTGCTGTTTTGATCATGAAAACAATATGTTGACATAAAAGGGTCAAACAACAAGCATGACCTTCACGATTCAAAGTACATCATCTATGATATATGCATCACTTCACTGACAACTAAGTTTTGTTTCGAGGTACATGTATCAATAGCAGTTATCTGATTGTAGTGGCTGTAAGTAATGGTGAGATAGTGCAACAGCCATGAACTATGGTAGGGCTGATCTATGGCAGATTCCACAAATAGGGCAGATGTTGGTGTATACTCAGATCCATGGCAGATTCCACAAGTAGGGCAGATGTTGGTGTATACTCAGATCTATGGCAGATGTTGGTGTATACTCAGATCCATGGCAGATTCCACAAGTAGCGCAGATATTGGAGTATACCCAGATCTATGGCAGATTCCACAAGTAGGGCAGATGTTGGTGTATACTCAGATCTATGACAGATTCCTCAAGTAGGGCAGATGTTGGTGTATACTCAGATCTATGGCAGGTTCCACAAGTAGGG